TCCCTGACTTGAAGTGATACCACGAAGCAACTGTAGTAAAATCAACGTGGTATTGGAACCAAAACAGAGCCAAAGATCAATGGAATAGATTAGAAGATACAGTCACAACAACAAACACACTCAACCAACTTACCTTTTTTTAATTTTATTTAAAGAGAAAAAAGAAAAAAAAACAGAAAAATGGTACAAGTTATACAGAATTTCAGAAAAAATAAACAGTAGGAAATCACTAGTTAATTACATATTGTCATCTTAGAAATAGTTGTTGAAGTTACAAAATTAAAGCATATAGAGGGGACTTCCAAACAGTGAGACTACAAATAGTTTTGTTCAATAATCCAACAAAACTCAGTAATATGGTTATCTATCTTATACACTTAAATATATATGCAGTTATATCTTTTAGAGAACTTTCTTTTCCTTTCTTTTATACAATGACAATTACACATTTTGGGTTTTATTACTCCCACAGTTCTTATTACTTTTTTTTTTGAAGAAAGTAAAACCAAATGTGACATACCAGGACAGAATCAGTCAAATCAAAAGGATGGATATAATACATAATATAAAAACAAAATACAAGGTGATCAACAATGGTTACCATAATGCTTCTTGTTATCTTAAAAAGAATTGCCTATATCATCAGTTATAATAAAATTGAACAAAACAGTAAAGAATAAGACCAATAAAACCAAAACATTAGAGACATTAGAGGACTTCAAAGGAAGGTAATAGTCAACCAGAATGGGCTTCACAATGGATCTTATTGTCTTCATAGTTGTTGCCTAGACTTTCAAACTTGGTACTATCTAGCATAACAGAATAGAGGAAAATCAGTCAAAACAAGATGGTGAGAGCAATACAGAGTTTCAAATCAAGTTAATAGGAAATCAAAGTGGGTTACTATAATATATCCTGCTACCAACTTATCTTTGATTAAAGGGGCCAAAGAGCTTCACTGGAAGAATGACAGTCTCTTTAATAAATAGAGTTGGAAAAACTGGCTCTCCATTTGCCAGAAACTAAAACTAGACCAATGCCTATCACCACGTACTAAATTAAAATATAAATGTATCAAATATTTGAATATTAAAACAGAAACACTAAATCTATTGGAAGACAACTTGGGTTAAAACGTTGAATACTTAAGAGTAGTAGAGTATTCCTGAACAGGAATCAAACTGCATGGGAAATACTTCCCAGAATCAATAACTGCGATCACCTCTTATTAAAAAGTTTCTGCATGTCAAAGAAATTTCCAGCATAATGAAAAGAAAACCAACAAACTGGGAAAAAAATCTTAGTGAATTCTCCCTCAGACAAAGGACTTCTGTCTAAAACATACAAAGAATTTTAAAAATCAGATTCCCAATATTCAAAGACACAATCCAAAAATGGGCGTCTGAGATGAATACACACTTCTCAGATGAACAAATACAAATGGCAAATAAATACATGAAAATATGTTCATTATCATTACTCATAAGAGAAATGCAAATTAAAACCACACTGAGATTCCATCTCACTCCTGAAAAAAAATGGCCAGGATCAAGAAAACCAACAACAAATGCTGGAGAGGCTGTGGGGAAAAACGAACTCCCCTGCCCTGTTGGTGAGAGTGTAGCCTGGTGCAGCCATGTGGAGGTCAGTCTGGAGATTTCTCAAAAAGCTGGGATGGGAAGTTTCATTTGCTCGAGTTATTCTACTTCTAGGCACATTCCCAGAAGAAATGAAAACATCATACCATATGTGCACTCATGTTTATAGCAGCACAATTTGTAATTGCCAGATCTTGGAAACAACCTAAGTGTCCATCAACTGAGAAATGAATAAAAAAAACTGGTATTTTTATACAGTGGAGTACTACTCAGCTATATAGAATAATCACATTCAAATATTTATAAATAAATGGATACAACTTGAGACCATACTCATAAGTGCAATAAATCAAACTCACATGTATAAATGCCATATAGTCTCCCTAGTGTAAGAAATGGTAAGAGTACGTAAGAGCTTATAGTAATCATGATTCCCCATTACATTGCTCTGAAGCCTTATAATGTCTAAATTCATTAGTTGAAATGGTTTTATGCTAGTTTGTTTGATTTTATTATCTGTGATAATATAAACAGCTATTTTTCAAAAAAAGAAGACATTAGAATAGCCAGAGCTGATTTAGTATCATCTTACTCTGAAGTCCAACTATGCTTTTGTTTTTTTGTTGCCTTTGGTTCTATCCTGTTATATCATATTGGATATTATTGTGTTTGACAGTATAAACAAAGTTTGTATGGAAAGTGATATAATATAGTAGCCACGTTCATCCTCTGCTATTTGGTTCTGAAAGCCTTCTAATGCTTTCATTCTCTTGAATGGTTTTATACTGTTTTGTTAGGCTTGATACTATGGCATATGAGCTATGCTCAAGTATTTCAAAGAAAGAGACACTATGGTAGTTACTGTTAATTATGGGTTATCTTGTGGTAAAATGCTGTGTGACTTGCATTGTTCTGATCTGATCTGCTTTGTTATGTCCTCTTTTGTCTTAATCTCTTTAAAATAAAAAAAAGCTTGTCACATTTAGATGAAATTAGTAATTGTAGTCTAGGGAGAGTGTCTCCAGGGATAAATAGTATGATGCCAGTTTTCCTGTCAAAGGGGAGCACCAGTCCACAGCCTTGAAGCAAACTTGCCTATTTAAGTCCCTTGGTCTCCTGGTTTATAGCAGCCGACATAATGTAGCTGTGTCAGCCTCTTTCACACCATCTTTACAAAGCATTTAAAGACTTGGACTGTTCTGTTTCTAGGTTTTTAACCTATCTGCCTCTCCTTGTCCTACAGCTCAGAGACTGACCCAGTGTGCTGTAATCCCATACCTAACACATGGCGCCTTTTCCTTTTCTGATCCCTAGCTCCTCCTGGCTCATACTTTATCGTCCCCTCTTTGCTTCACTTCATAACACAGGATGTCTTCCTGCTGGAAGGTCTTGTTTATTATGCCCCTTATCTGTCCATGCTTACTAGATGAAGAGAGATGGTGAATGGATACACTTACTCCTTTGCTTAGGTAAGATTTTTCTCTGAACAGGTATTGAAAGATATTGATTTCAGTTTCAGGTCATCAGACTTGGTGAAGCATCTGTGTAAGTTGAGTAGCTTGGAGAACTTTATGTTAATCGGTCACAGGGTGTTTTAAACATGAGACTCTAATTATCTGGAAAACTGGTTCAAACCAAGAAAATACTGCAAATATGTCTCCACATCCTACTGAGAGCTGGTTATGAATTCACAGTACTGTTGTAAATTTGATCTTTAGACTGCACTTGTGTCAGCTGCTACACTCAGCTACACGTTGTACAGCAGTGCACAGGTCCCTCTTCTGCTCAGGTTGGTTTCAGTGTAAAGATTAACCAAGTTCTCATCATTAGAATTAGATCAGGGGAAGAAACTATGATCATTTTCACTGTTTGATCTGCTTTGCATGCCTGTATCTTGTAATCTAAGCAACTATTTTGAAGATAACAATGTGCAATATAGTGACTATTGTTAATTTCCTATCAGATTGTATTGAAATCCTATATTGTTTCTACTGCTTTGTTAGTTTTTATAGTTTCATTTTCTTTTCATCTCTTTTTTTAAAAATGAGATATTCAATTATGTCATTTAACAGTGTTATTAGGAAGAAGAGTATATCTAATTTTTAATTTTCTTCTTCCCACAGAAGCCAAAAACTGTCTCCAAAAATGGTTCAGCTGTAAAATTTTCCACATCTTGCTCCAGGGAAACACTGTCCATCCTTTATTATTTGATGCTTAGCAGATAGGACAGGACATGGAAGTCGTCTACCAGACATCCAGGAGCTTATAAATGAAACCTTGCTTCCAGTTCACAGCACTACATATTAGGAGCCTAAGGATAAGTTAAGTGATGGGCAGTGGGAGGAAAAGGCAGGGGGACCAGAGCTCCTGTTTGCTTGAGAAGTAAAAAGGAAAGTGCTCACATCTTAGTCCACTTCCCAGCTGAAGGACAATTCCCACTTAGACAAATATCTCCATCATTCTAAAAGTTTTCCAAATGATTTAATTTTAGAAGATGTATTCTGTTGTGCAATTATATGTGAGATTCTAAATGATAACACTGCTGTGGAGAAAATATATTACATTATAACGTATAGTGTATCATACATTTGCAGGATTAAACAGCTTTTACTGGTGTTTACTGTTTATCCCTTTCTTCCCAGGAGAGTTCCTGTTTATGTCAGTTTTAGACTCTCAAACTTCTGAGTTAGATGATCACCAAGGCCAATGCCAATTCTTGACATAAAGCAGTGTTTGACAGAAAAGTCATACCATTAAAAAAGAAAAAAAAAAACTGACTCCTGGCTCTTGGATCTACTATCACTGAAGAAAGTACCTATGGAAAACACAGGGTAAGAGCTCAGCAGTGGATTACTACTTCTATTTCAGCTTTGCTTTGGATCGACATGACACACCCTTGTTCTTAGCACTCATGTTTCCCACTAGAATCTGCACTTACAACTTGGGTAGAAGCTGCCTTTTCAGGGATAATATCTTCTTTGTGTCCTGTGAACAACTACGTCATTGAGGGTGTTGAAAAACTGAAGAAAACAGCTGAGGATGGTGTGACAGGTACAGGGTTATGGAGACTTACTGGCAGTGAGAGTTCGTATTGATGGCTGGCAGGTGGCACTCTGCACCCTGTCACTGCAGAGGGAGGGGTTTCCCATGCTGATAAAGCCAGGCATCCTAGGATAGCTTTGTCTCTTTGTCTCTCTGTTCTAAAGAGCAGCTGCCTTTGGCCTACTGCTGCAAGAAGCACTCTGTATGGTTCCAAGTCCAGTTTCTCCTCTGGGTGAGTTCCTCTGGGCATTCTGAGCCTACTGTCTCTGCCCTGTTGGCGGTCAGTATCTTGGAAGTGCAGCAGACTGTCAGGGTGGTGGTGTTTGATGCTATGCTGCTTCTCAAGGATCATGCACCACCATGCCAACACAGAGAGGCATGCTGGGCACCAGGGAGCAGGTCCTGCTCGTCACCCAGACTGGCATCCCTTCCCTGCTTTGCAGAACTACAGATCCTGATTCCTCAGCATGGTACTATGCAACAAGTTCATTACATACTTGACCTTACAGAGAAGTCCATCATTTTACAATTTTCTGCAAAAGCCACAAAAGATTCTAAGTGTATTAAAATATTGCATTTTTAAAACTATGATAACTAAAATAAAATATTAATCACAGCCCCTAATGGGGAATAAATTTCCCAAGTAAACTCATAATACAACATGGCAAAGTAAATATTTTAACCACCTATATATTCAATGTTCTTCTGGCCTAGAAATCAAATTTACAATTATACACAGTATTTGTTGTAAAATGGTTGCAATAAATATCACACACAAAATAGTATCTTCATTCTATAAAAAATACACTATTTTGGAAATATTCTATGTATATGCCAAAGAGTAGATGCCATGAACAAGTAAATCTCAAAGTAATACTAATATATGTGTGTGTGTTCAGATTTATTATCAATAAAAAATCATAAACCAATGTTTAGATGCTGTTGCAAAATACAGGAGAAAGCACAGAGTTCTTGGTTGCTGGTGAGAATCACATCTTTGTCTAACAGTTTGGGGAGGCATTGCTAAAGCTCAGGGACCTCCCTTCCATGGTCCATCCCAGAGAACTAACCTCACAATAACATTTTTGTGTGCAAAGTTATAAGCAATGTGCACATGCATCAAAGAGGAAACATTAAGCAAGTGCCTGGAACATCATCAACCATCGCAGCTCTCTGAGTAGCTACTGCAATGTGCATGGAGACTGCATATTAAATGCTATTTGGCATATGTGAAATTGAATGTGTGCTAATGTTTAAGACTACAAGGTGCTGTGATGCAGCTCAGTGGAGGCCACTTGCTTCACAGCACTGAGGACATTGATTGCCAGTAGCATCTAAACAATTAACAGGATTATCCATAGACATAATCATTTTCATACAGAGGTGTGGTGCATTTGGCTTCTTTCTTTCTTTTTTTCTTATTGGCCATGGATATTTTAGTGTTGTCACCCCATTTTCAGGACATGAATTAACACCTACAGTGACAACAAGATGCCCTTAGATCTGAGACCCTCCTTTGCCTCTTCGAGGAATGCTGGGGAGGTCTGCAGTCTCATTAGCAGTCCTCAGCCAGAGGATTCTCATGGTCAGTGCCAGGGACGTCCATGTTCTGATTTCCCCTGCTTGCACCTTACCATTCCCCCTGGCCAGTAGCAGTCCCTGTGTTTGGTCTCCACTGACCACCTGCTCTCCTCAGAATTTACAGGAAGCAATAACAAGCCCAATTAATTTAAGAGGAACGGGGGTGAGTGGGCATTTATCTCTCTCCATCTTGTAGGCTGCTGCCTGAGGTTTCTTTTTAATTTCCCCAGTGGCTTAACACCATGGGTGGAAAAGGCAGAATTAGAACAAGGATGCACATCAGGAAAACAGCTGGTGAGAAGCTCTGCTGTGCAGCTGGTAATGATTCAAGTACGAAGAAACAGAAAAGTGTACATAGTACGGGTCTCATCCACAAAAGTCTATCTGAAAATTTACTTTTTGCCATTATACATCCATTGTGGGGGTGCAAAATGTGCGGGGGTCCAGGGAGAATTTCTCATGCCCCAGCCACTAGCCTCCAGCTCTGGTTACCTCTTCTGTCCTTCACTTGCAGTGCTCTGCCCTCTTCCTCTCTGTTACTCACCACCTAGAGAGAGGTCCAAACCCTGGAAGTCTCCTTCCAAACCACTCATGGCACCTCTGGCCATCCAGGGTTCGGCTCCAGGCTTCCTAAAGGCAAAGACCATGTTCTGTTTTAGATCTATTCAAAACTTCAAATTCTCTGGAATAACTGTGGAATGAGTGAACTGACATCCACTTCGGCTCACTGGAAAACTGGACAGAGCAAGTAGAGAACCACTAGTTATCAGGAGTCACTGACTGGGAGAGTCTCTTAACCTAAGTATGTGTCATTGTTTTTTAGCTGTTGAATGGGGAAAGCAGTGCGCTGGTATATCCCAAGGATGTCGGGGAAGGTAACTTAAATAGTGTCTATGAATCACTCCACACTGTGTAATAAATGTGTTTGCACTTTTCACAGCAAGGCACACACCCACTTGATAGAATTATTTTTTCTAATTTGGCATTGCACATAACTTTTTTTCCCTCAAATTCATATAATTTGGGGTGTGTTTGACTCTTGGGAACTTGTTTGGATGAAGATACTTACGTTGTCATGTTTTGGGAAAGAAGTCCCTAGACCAGGGGTTTTCAATAGAACCTAAAGGGAACTATAGAGGTAATTTAACTTACTTTAATAGCTACATTCAAAATGCATCAAGGAAATGTTATCTAGATAACATTGTTAGTTTTATCTAACAAAATACAACGAAGTACTGTGAGTTAGCATGTAATGATATGAATTTTTATGATAATTAGTACATTTTTTTCGTGTCTTTGAACCCTTAATGTGATTCATGTCCATAGCACATCTCAGGTTTGGCTCGGGAGCACAGCAGCTTTGTAGAACTCCTGGTTACCATGGTGGATAATGCAGATCCACACAACACCAAAGGGGCAGTCCGGGTAATCCACATACACAGTAAAACACAGTTACTGACATATCTACTCACAACCCAGCTTCTCAGAGTGAAGGCTCTCTTTTGAGGCAATGTCCTCTAGCAGTGTTTAGATCTGTTTACTTCTCCTTTTTAATTAAACTTCATATATTATTTATTGCTCTCATTTCACTTAATCCTGTTAAGAAGCTGTACTAATAAACGGCAGGAATTTTTGTGAAAAGAAGGAAAATAAATCTCTTTATCCTAAATAAGATTTTAACTGTCTCTGGTAGGTTGGGGCTGCTTTGTTTCTTCTCACAGCTCATGGCACCTGTGGTTTTTTCTTCAGCATCGGATTGTTATCTTCAAGTGACAAACAGCTAGCAAGCATGGGAAGCACTGAATTTTATAATTTTGAAACATGTCAAGAAGTACATAACTTAGTAAAGTCCTTGTGATTGTCTTCCCAAAATGTGTGTTCTTAGTGGGTGGTTTTGACCAGGGATTCTCAGTGAAAAAGCCAAAGTCTAACAGAGGGAAGTGATAGGTGGCATCCTCTGGGCCTTACTTACTGTTTATCCATATTTATTTGGCAGGGTTTGATTTTCACTATTATATGTGTATCAACTTCAAGGTGACATGGTGTGGGGGAGAGACAGAGAAACAGAGACAGAGACAGAGACAGCCTGAACAACAGCCATAAACCTGTGCCTCCTTTCCACTTAGATGCAGTCAGCCCCAGTAGTCAGCATGTGGCGCATTGCTCCAGAGCGGGTTCCTGAGTGGCACAGTGGGACCTGACACAGCACAGTCCTACCCAAGATGTCCCTCTGGGAAGTTAAAATATGAACTTGCTGACCTAAAATTTCATCTCTTGAATTATCCACAGCCACACCCTAGTGTTCCCGAAAGACCGATTTTCCGCTGCTTCCTCTCACACTCCGTCCCATTCCTGTCCCCTCCAGAGCTGCCGCATGGGGCAATGCCTCCGTGTTTGCGGACTTCGTCCTCCTGGGGCTCTTCAGCACCTCCCGGCTCCCCTGGCTCCTCTTCACGCTGGTTCTCCTGGTCTTCCTGGTCTCCATAGCCAGCAACACCATCATGATCGCGCTCATCTACCTGGACGCCCGGCTGCACACGCCCATGTACTTCTTGCTCAGCCAGCTGTCCCTCATGGACATCCTGTACATCTCCACCATCGTGCCCAAGATGCTGCTGGACCAGGCGATGGGCCAGCGGGCCATTTCCTTCGTAGGCTGCACCACGCAGCACTTCCTCTACCTGACCTTGGCGGGGGCCGAGTTTTTCCTGCTGGGCCTCATGTCCTACGACCGCTACGTGGCCGTGTGCAGCCCGCTGCGCTACCCGGTGCTCATGAGCCGCAGGGTCTGCGTGCTGATCGTGGCGGCCGCCTGGCTGGGCGGCTCGGTGGACGGCTTCCTGCTGACCCCGGTCACCATGCAGTTCCCCTTCTGCGCCTCGCGGGAGATCGACCACTTCTTCTGCGAGGTGCCTGCGCTTCTGAAACTGTCCTGCGTGGACACCTCGGTCTACGAGACAGCCATGTACGCATGCTGTATCCTCATGCTGCTCATCCCCTTCTCCGTCATCGTGGCCTCCTACGCCCGCATCCTGCTGACAGTGTGCGCCATGCGCGAGGCCGAGGGCCGGCAGAAGGCAGTGGCCACCTGCTCCTCTCACATGGTGGTGGTCAGCCTCTTCTACGGGGCTGCCATGTACACCTACGTGCTGCCCCACTCCTACCACACACCTGAGAAGGACAAGGCCGTGTCCGCCTTCTACACCATCCTCACACCCCTGCTCAACCCGCTCATCTACAGCCTGAGGAACAAGGACGTGGCAGAGGCCTTGCGGAGGGCCCTGGGCCGGGGCCTGTGCTCCCGGAGGGTGACCGCATTCTGAAGCCTGCTGCTTCCTGCCAAACGTCTGCAGACACACGGGACCTGGCTGTCCCTTTGCAGTCAGTGTCCCACTGTGCATAGACTTTACCTGGCCCCAGCGCCAGCTCACAGGACAAGCTGGGAATTAGAAAAGCTGGGGTTTGGGGTTTGGTCTGTGTTTCTGGAAAGGAATCAGCGATCTCTACACTGGTCAGTTTTGAGTGCAAAATAAAGTGGGGGGTCTCAGTCATCCCCAATCTGCTCTCCCCAAGGCTGGACCCTGGAAGCCTGCTATGGCCAGTTGGGGCTGCAGTGGTCACCACAGAAGGGACGCCGGCTGCTCATATGAGCTGCTCCTGACTTCTCCCTCTGGCACCTGACCCTACCAAGAACCAGCCACTCACATGAGATTTTGACTCTTTTCCACCTATCACTTCAGGGTCATGCTGACTTTCCCCCAAGTGACTTCCTATCATTTATAGAAATATTTCCATCTGTTGGGCCATCATTACTTGTTGGAAAATACAGTCTGACTCTATGCTGTATGTTCTGGCCTCAGTGCTGTCAACACTGCTTGCAGACACAAAGCTGTGTGGAAGACACCAGCATCAGGCTAAGCCGGAGCACGACCTGCACCACTGAGGTAGTCAAGGTCGAAGCAAAGAGCAATAACTTTACTGTGAGCTGGGTGCAGCCCGGCCAAGGGTGAAAAGACCACTGGCCCAAGAAAGCGGGGAGCACTTTTAATAGTGGAGTTTATGCAGGAGACGAATCCTGCTGAGGGGCCAGAAACTTTTTAACCTTTCCTGGGTCAGGGGCAAGGGGTTGGTTGGGACTGGAGCCCAGGATGTCACCGTGGTTTTTGTGGAATGAGTTCTTTCTGTTGGCCAGTTTCCTATTTGAATGCTGGGCTCCTGCAGGGGTGAAACACAGACCTGCTCTGGGGAGGATTTGTTTGTGTTTTGCCCAGGTGAGGGTCCACTTTGGGGACCCGACAACCAGCACTTTGGTAACTACATTTGTGTTTTGTGATACTGTTTTGTTCAACCCTTTCTAGAACAATGGATTCCATCTTTGAAGAGTGACCGTGTGGTCCTGGTAAATGGGTGGGTCCTTCATTTCCCATCACCCATGTGGTGACTCCTAATGATACAGTTTAGTAGAAAAATACTCAGGAAACTTAAGTTACATCTTTCCCCATACTGAAATTTTCTGATGAATTAATATATTTCACTTTTGAATCCTCATGCAATGTAATAGAACTCTTCAGGGAGTTAAATATTTGTTCTCTTGAGAAAATAATGTATATCGCTCACTTTTTCTTATATTTTATATTTTGCATTTAATTATTCTAACATTTTTACATTACATATTATTCTTCTGATACAGTGGAGAAAATTATGTTTATTTCTCTTTTCTTTAGCTTTTTCCTATTGGACTAAACTTATTTTAATTTGACTTCTCTGTGTTTCTGTTTTCTGTATATTCAGTATTTCTGATCTTATATTGCAATATCATAAAGGAAATCATTACAGAGAACAAAATGAATCTATCTATCCAAACTCTCATTTTAAAACTTAAACAATATTATTATCTAAATATATGTAGAAGAGTTATCTGGAAGTTGACACATGTTTTATATGACATAATACAAAATTCTTAGCTTCTTCTCCTAGAAAATAAAAAAGCAACTGAATTTAGAGCTTTTGGTTATTTTACATTTCCACAGGACAGGGGTGGAGGACCCCATTTTTTCTTACCTCTAAATGTCCTATTTTTGTCAGTGATACCAAGCTTGGAATTAGAAGCTGATCTTAGCTTTGAGATTGCACTGTGACCTGATGATGTCCTGGGATTCCTTACTGGAGGTCTTTACTCTCTTTGAATTTTATTTTCTCCACCTAAGCCATGAGGAGAATTATGTAGATCATGATCAGAGGCTGTAGCTATTTTAGGATGTGGAAAACAGAGCTGTGACCCCCAACGGACAGGGAAGAGGTGGTGATGTGAAGGCAACTGTATTTCTCACTGCAGGGAAGCTCCACAGTATACAGCTGTGTACTCTAATTAAACCTATTTATCATATCAGGTTGGATATGTTAATTCCTCTTCTTGTACCCTGATTGTCAGTGTATTGAATTAGACTGCTCTAACCCAGTTATTATGGCATAGGTTGGTACTAGGGGAAATAAGGTAACCAGTACAAAGGATACTTTGGCTAAGGAAGGAGCTCTGAACCTCAAGGTATTACTAAAATTAATCCATCACTCTCCAGAAGGGAAAGTGAAGCCTGTCCCCCACTTTTACCCCAAGGCGGTCTTATGCCATGACATTACCCAAAAGCAGGGCTCTTTCTTGCAGAGAACAGGCTACAGAGGTGGTAGGTGCTTTCTGACAACAGTAGAAGATATTTAATAAAACAGATAGAACATGCTCTACAGGTTGGTGTCCTGGTCGGGCATCCCAAACCCTGCGACAGAATAATAATCACTCCTCTAGTGTATCATGACTACCTGAGGTATCATGAAGACCCTCAACACTGGTTCCCACTAAGTTTAGAAGCATAGAAAGGGCAAAAACTAACTATGAGGAAAATTCAAGGAAATCATTTAACCAGATTTTCAGAGCTCACTTCCCTCCTTTCTCAACCAGGGCTCCAAGAGGCCTTGTACCTCTGCGTGTATCTTATTCTTAGTTTTTGACACAGTGTTGACACTAAAACTTTATAAACAGAATGGATGACTTTATGAACTGTAACATGTTCTCTTCAGTATCACCCATTCCCCCTTTCTCTCCCTCCTTATCGATTTCTATCCTGCTTTCTTATATTTCTCACTCACCCCCTTAACTGTGAACTCTGCTTTTGACCTCTCCCCATTCCATGCCCTTCAGTCCATGTCTGGTTACAACCCATTAGTGGCTCTGTGAAGTCACCTTTGCACTGCACAGCAGCGTCCACTCCAATTGCTGAGTAAAGAATGCAGAAAATACTCTTTAGGAAGAATTATGTACTGAGCAGTATCCTGAACGTTTGCTAAGGATGTTTCACCTGTAATTGGGAATTGTAAGGTAGGAGGCCTATGATGAGTAGAAATCATGTAAGTAGTGTCTCTGGGTGGCTTCGGTGCATGAGAAGTCTTTGATCACTATCATTATCGTCAGAATGACCGATGTCCTGCTTCCCAAACAAGAGTGCTTTTCCCTTTAATGGGGAAATAAGGCATGAGAAGTGTCAGGTTTCCTGAGAAAATGTCTGAACACAGTCATGAAAAATCTTAGAGCATGTATGCCTCATACTTTTCTCCATCACTGTTACTTGCTTCCTCCTTTCCTTTCTCCTTCTCTTGCTTCCTCTCCTTCCTTTCTTCTCTTTCTCCATTTTCCCTTCTTTCTCCTTACTTTCTCAGTGCATTTGATAGGTGAATAATTCTGAAAACCACTGAATGTTTGTAAGTTTTAAAAGGCACATTTTAAATATAATTTTCTGTGACCAAAATAAGCCAGTGACTGGGGAGAGAACCCTCCAGCTGCCATGTCACTCTTGGTTATTACCTCCAAGGGAGCCAAGATGAGAGAAGAAGTTCAGTGATGAAACATCAGGAAAGTACTCCAGCTTTTCACTTGGGAAAAGAAAGCAGCTTCTGCCTGGCCAGGGGGACTGGGCTTCCTCTATTGCAGAGGTGAACCAGGTGAACCCCAATTAACTGACACCCCTGAGATCAGTCCTGGGGATCGTGACATCCGTCATTAGTCACTTTGTTTGGATTTAGGCTCACCTGCTTTCCCGGGTACTTAAAATATCATCCCACTCTCACCTGACTGAGGCGTGGAGTCAGCTGCTCTGAGGTAGGATTTTCAAGTTTCATGAAAGCATAGGGAAGATTATCCTGACTTTGGGATGTTTTCTTTGGCAATTCCTCTGTAACTTAGGGAAAGCCACCCTGGAGTCACTTTAGCTGATAACATCCACATTGGTGATCTTTTGTGGACTGAGCATGATGAAAAAATGCATTCACTTTTCTGCAAGTGGATAACTGAAAACAGGGTGTATTAGCTGGAAACACAGGAATGAAGAGAGTCTGGCAATAGTGAACTTACAGAAGAGAAAATGTGTATGTGCTAAAGATTAGAAAACCATGCTTAGTTTAACACTCACTGTATCTTCAGATATTGATGGGCAGGTGGCAGGGCAGTGCAGTATTAATAGAGCAGCATGATTTGCTGCCCATGAATATCATTAAGGCAAGGAATGTACTCTATATGTAGCCCAGTGTGGGTGAAGCTTTCTTGCATGCTTGGGTAGAAATTAAAGTGTTGAGTATTGTCATTTCTCTTTTCATTATTTTCTTGCCACCCTCCTCTATCTCTTTCTTCATAAAATAAACACATATGCTTGTGACAATTTTTTTCACAACCAGGTGATATTCCATAAAGAAATGCACTAGAAGCCAGCCAGCAGCTGTATGAGAGGCAGCCAGGCTGAGCAATTAAAGCAAAATGTGCTACAGTCTCCTGTTGGAAACATAGAATCCAGAGTGTAACATTGAACATGTTATGCATGGAGCAGTTGGTCTCTGCTTCTCACGTTGCTCCATTACTGCTGGTCCAAGTTTTCTGTCCTCTTGTCCTGTTTCCTTCTTTATGCCATCAGTGTGGTGGAACCGAAGGGCCCCATCTGTGTGAGACGTTTTGACTGCCAGGGCCACTACCCACACCCACACCACTGTTCAGAGCACATCTCCAAGAATAGAGCAGGAGCCACCTTCCGGCAGAGGCAGCTGGGAGCTTCCCCAGTGCTCCAGGAGCCCAGGGTACGAGTGTTTTCTGGTTCACTGTTAGTATCATTGACAAGATTTGTTTAACTGTGTTGGCACTCAGCAATAAAACACACAATCCTCCTACTGAATCAATTCTTGGCTAAGTAAGTGTTCAATAATTTGTGAGCTGTGACTAAGAAACTGTTTTTGTTTCTTAAAAAGGCACAATTAGTTGACCTTGATTACATTACAAATGTTTTGACATATGAGAGGCTTTTCTATCCTCTTTATTTTCCATGAAAATTTCTTAATTGACTGTGAGAGTGACCAGGGAATGTAGAGTGTTGGGTCCCTATAATAGGTATATCCCTAATATACCCTCATAACTGACATAAAATCAGTTACAGTTCAATGGATTGAGTACTTGAGGGGACATTTTGGCAGAAATGATCATGAGAATCACAGATAAGGTGAAGGGAAGGGAAAAACTCACATTATTGGGTACTAAGCTGCCATAGAAAGGAGGCAATGAAATCTGGTTATTCAGTGTCAGGCTCTTAATTTATAAACATAAACAAAGAAATGCAGGGATACTGGGCACACATAAAAGAAGGGTCCATTGGCCACAGTCTGTTGGGGACATAGAAATCTATTAGTAATAATTAATAGCAATGATGTTGATTTCAAAACTATTCAAGTATTCAAAACTATTCAACTGCTGGCTATATCTTTTTTAAACGATGATTTTATTGTGTGATTTTTCTGCTGTAATAACTCATATTTACATCACAGTGCTAAATACTTTGAGCCCTATACTCCAAGCCCTCACTTTCCAGCTCCTTCTCCTCCATAACTCCTGAGTTCTCCAAGGTGGTCTTAGCTGAGTTGGACTGGGGCCTCCCCTCTTCTCACTCTCCACACACCTGCCAGTGCAATCCTTTCTGGACTTTAAATGCACAATTTGGAATCCAAGCATCTTTTCTTTATTCTTTTTAGCACTCCAGTGGGCCTTTCCTTCTTTCAGTCTAAAAATTTTAATGTACATGAATTTTTACCTCTAGCATCACTGTTTGCCCTGAGCAGACCCTGATTGTCTTGGCTCATAAGGAATGCTACTTTTTCAAAAGTAGTTATAGCACTATTAGAAAACTTCATGATTTGGAGGTATTTCAACCTGCAGCCTAGGGTAAGATTCTCAGGTAGGGCATTTGGCAGATATGGCTTGAGAACGCCTAGAACCTGATTTGCTGTGTTTCAAGGTGCACAGAGCTTCTCAAGTGACTGGCACACAGCAAGTTGTGTGGTTGTTTCTGGTTTGGGAACAGTATAACTTCCTGTTTCTCCTCTCATATCTGTCAGTGTCTTCTATATCTTTAGGTGTACTCATTTACAAGCATTTTACAGACATATGCTTTCTTTGGCATATTTTTCATCACTTAGAAAAAAATAATACCTTCCTTTTAGAGTTACATTGTACTTTCAACTAGTGGTATAATTCCATGCTTCTACTTGGGAAAAAAATGAAATCTAGAAGAATAAAATGAAGATTGTGGCCAAAACGAGTTGTCTGCTGGCATGAATATTTTATTTTTTATTTTAAAATAAGAAATAAAAATATCAAAAGAGGCTAATAAGAGAGTAACAATAATTAATACACTGCCTACAGTTATCTTCATAGTATAAGATACTGTGTAACTCAGAGTACAAGATATAGGTATGAAATTGTGTCCATCTCCACCCAGTTTTCATGAAAGAGCTCTAAAGGAAACTTTGTTATAATAACTTTAAATTAAATCCCTTGCCTGTTGTCCAATGCTGTGACTATCGCGAAGCTGTTTCTCTTATTAAGGAAGGCAAAATTAGCTGACCTTTATCAACCTAGTCAAGAATCAGTATTTGATAGTCAGGGGTTTACTTCTTCTCCTTACCTAATAATCTATGACTGATTTACATTTTAGCATAGAGACTTTGTATTTTCTCCCTTTGTAACTGTACTCCTTTATCTGGAATATTACTCATAATGAATCTCCATCGTGGATGAACACTAAGAAGAAAGAGTGTTCTTTATTGCTTCTGTTATGTTGTTCAATCTCTGGTGTATTTATTTCTCCCTGATGCTTCAGAGTCTGTGTCTGATGACTGCACAACAAATAGATGTGTTTATAGTAGCAGAGTGTGGCCCATTTGCCAAAGCAAGCCTTTTCCAACACTCTGTCCCTGGAGTGGAGTAAGTTGCACCATGATCTAATAATGGAAATGGACGATTCATTCTCTGTATCCTTGAGTATGTCACAGAGGTGTACACTTGCTTTACTCTAGAAAAAAGCACAGGAATTATTTAATTTATGGAAAATTTAATATTACTCTACCTTATTCCCTGTAACTTAAAGACTATCTTTGCCATCTGTTATTTTACTTACAAACATGAGGGATCCATGAGATAGTAGTAAAATGAACAAATACAGGAAAGAAAGCCTTGGTGGATTCCTAATAACACCACATTTCTGAGCTTCTGAACACTCCCTATCAGGGGAGTGCACTGATCTGCTGAAGGACAATGTGAGAGAAGCCCAGGGTGTCGCTGGATGCTGGACTGTATCACTGAGATCTAGCAGTTCACAGACTTCATGGTTTCACCAGAAAACACATCTATAATGCAAAACACAAGTCTTGAGGCTAAGGCTAAGCGGAGTTCACAGGGGTTTTTCTTTGAGATTTATGGCCCCAGGTTGTCCTGTGATAAGAAACAGACCCAAGCATTTAAAAACTGCACCCCAGAACAAACTAATTCTCAGTGCAGCTGAGCACAGGCAGCTTGGAATCCTGCCCTACAGTGCAGTTAGCAACACTCACGTGTTCAGCTCTGATGCCCCAAATTTCCAAGGACTCCTTGACAATAATGTCACCAAAAATATTCCATTTACTAGAAAATTTGGATCCATATTCACATCATATCTGTTTCCTAAGTCACAGGTGAATGTCTGTGTGTGACCTTTGCAGTGGAATCACCTTCATGACAAGCAGCAATTTCAATTCAAGGAAATTGGGTCTATTGGTTCTGATGCAATTTAGAGAATAAGACACAGGAACAACCCCCAAGAAACTTCCTACCTAACATGGTAAGATTATAAGATGTACACAGAAGATGTCTCAGAATGAAGATAATGCAGTTTCCAAAAGATCACTGCACTGACCTCTCACACCTTCCCAGTAAAGGACTGACGTGATAATTCGCAGAGAAATGAAAGTGTCTGCACAGTGTCACATGAATCATTAATAATGCAAGCAGGACTCTAAGGGACTCTGAATGGGAAACTCCCCCCATCAGCCACCCTGCTCTGACATGTCATGCCTGGTGGGTGCTTGTTAAATATGGGACAATTCCTAACCTGTCCATTCTGTCTCTCAGCCCAGGGCGTGACCATGTGATGTGGAGATGGAGATGTTTCCCCAGAACTCCACCGACTTCATCCTCCTGGGCCTCATTGTCCACCCAACCCTGCCAGGGCTGATCTTCGTGGTGGTATTCTCCATCTTCCTGGTGGCTGTCATTGCAAATGTGACCATGGTTCTGCTCATCCGTGTGGACCCCCGCCTGCACACACCAATGTACTTTCTGCTCAGCCAGCTCTCCCTCATGGACACTGTCTACATCTGTGTCATTGTCCCCAAGATGCTCCAGGACCTGCTGTCTGAGGGCAGGACCATCTCTTTCCTGGGCTGTGCACTCCAGATCTTCCTCTACTTGACCCTAATTGGAGGAGAGTTCTTCCTGCTGGGCCTCATGGCCTATGACCGTTATGTGGCTGTGTGCAGCCCACTGCGCTACCCAGTGCTCATGAGCCGCAGGGTCTGCATGTGCATGGTGCTGGGTTCCTGGCTGGGGGGCTCCCTGGACGGCTTCATGCTGACACCCATCACCATGAGCTTCCCCTACTGCGCGTCCCGGGAGATCAACCACTTTTTTTGTGAGATCCCAGCTGTGCTGAGGCTGTCATGCGTGGACACATCTCTGTATGAGACCCTGATGTATGCGTGCTGTGTGCTGATGCTGCTGGTCCCTATCTCCATCATCACAGTTTCCTACACACGCATTCTGATCACTGTGCACCGCATGACCTCTGCCGAAGGCCGGCGCAAAGCCTGGACCACCTGTTCCTCTCACGTCCTGGTGGTGAGCATTTTCTATGGGGCGGCCTTCTACACCAATGTGCTGCCCCACTCCTATCACACCCCAGAGAAGGACAAGGTGGTGTCTGCCTTCTACACCATCCTCACACCCATGCTCAATCCGCTCATCTACAGCCTGAGGAACAGGGACGTGGCTGCAGCTCTGAGGAGGACGCTGGGAACATGCGCCTCCCCCAGGAGAGTCAGGGACAGGGACACACTCAGGAGGAGTTGAGAGGGTGACAGTGGCCAGGTCTGGTGTTGTGGCCAGTGACACAGCCCTCCCAGAATATGTGTTCTTGGTGATGAAAATGCTCGAGGTCAGGTTGACAATGAGTTACCAGCCTGCATCCTTAAAGGTCTGCGACTGCAGGAGGACCCCGTCTCAGCCTTTCCCAACTCGCCCTCCCGGATTCACTACCATTTTCCACATAGCACTTTCAGCTCAGTAGCACTGTGAACCACCCCCCGGCAGGCGGAGCACAGATGTGTTTATGTGGAATATGCCATCATGAGGCCATTGTGTCTATCGCTGACCACCTTTGGGGGTCAGTGCTAGGAATTGAACCAAGGACCTACCTCTGCATGCTAAACCCACATTGTACCACTGAGTTACACCTTTAAGTCCTCCTGACTGACTCTTCAAATGAAAACCAATCCATTGAACATCCATTCACTGAATGATTTAATTTCAAATATTCAATAAACAAAATATTCTCCATTGCTCATGATGTAGAAATTTGATCTTGGATGCTTTTGTGAAGATAATGGGATTGTAGTTTGGGTTCTACATTCTGAATCTTATTCTATAAACACAATTTTTTTAACCTGGGAAACTACATTGTGAATTCTTACGATGCCTTTACTCATCAATGTCTAATCTAAGATTAATAAATGTTTATTGGTTTATTGAGTGATAATTTACCATTAAGATTATAACATTGCTACAAACTTGCAAAATTTGCATTTATTCTTTGGTGAAGTGATAATGGATGCACACAAAGGTCAGGACACTTCATTAGCTAGGGTAGTTCACTTGGAATAATCAAGAGGCTCAGTATAATTCCCAGTATCTCCAGTGGTATACTGGAAGACAAGTACTTCTCTATTTTAAGGACTTTCAGGTAAATGTAATGTTTTCATAGATGGACTAAGTGGATTGAATGTTAACTAAGCAAAGACTTCAGTGAGTCTTCAGTCATCTACTTATTTACATTTTAATTCATCATGTATATAAAATCCTAAAAGAAAAATAAGTTAGCAAAAACTGTCCTGATATGCCTTGTATCTATTTTGTCTATTAACAGGTTAGAGAATGTGGACAAGCTTCTCAGAAGTCATCCAAGCAAATGTCACTCATTCTGAGGCTATTTTGGCAGTGATTTAGAAATACAGAGGGAAAGTTTTTCCTCCCCCAGAGCTAATGAGGGTAGAGAATGTTGCCTGGTTTTCCCTCAGGAAATTTCTGAAAATTTTATTTTTGCCTTGAAATAAAACAAGCAAATAAATTTTAAAAAGAGAGGGATTTCTGAGTCAGCACCATGTGTGGGCTCACTGGGGGAGAGCCAGACCTCAGCCCTCTTCTGTGAGTCAGCATCATTCACAGACTTCAAGCGGGTAGAACAAACAGTCAACAAGAAATTGAAATCTCATATGAGAGGGTGCCAGGCACACATTGACTGGGGAACAGCCAGACAACAGCCACTTCTGGCACACAAGAAAGGAGACAAGAAAGGCTAATGTTCCCCCCACAACCACCCTAAGGAACCAGCTGATTCAGAGAAGTACAGGCTGTGATGATACCTAATGAGGTAAAATACAACTTAAAGCTTGTAGTGTTTAGTGTTTGACTAGCCTGGAGTTCTAAAGCCCATAGTCTGATCATCTATTCAGAGGAAAACAATTTGCAATGTAGCATCTATGGGGATCTCCTTCTTAAGGTGGTAACCATTATTAATTCCTCATAATATTGTTTCATTTTCTTTAAAATAAAAATTTTTAATAAAAGAAAGAGACATTACAGAATGGCCCAGAAGGATGAGTTGCCCTTGAGGTGCAGAAACAGACCTATGTCACTTAGGAGATCCCGTCAGCGCTGTTCAAAAGCTCTGTTCCCTTTAATTCCAGTGCCCCTGCACTGACACTTTCCCCATCCACTCCTGCCTGAGCCAGCGCCCCCTTTCAGTCCTTCCCTCTGTTGAATCTTTGCCTCTCACACAGCACCTTTCTCCTCCACCAGGCTCCTGCTTGTCCTTCCTCACCTTCCCACAGGGTCTAGCTGGGCCCTGGATGCCATACATTAACATCTAGGAGGGCTTTTGTTCTTCTACTTCCAATGTGCTCTTTGCACAGTGAACCAGGACACATCGACTCCTAGAGTGATAGATACATCAAAGGTACATAAGAAACAGTGAGCTGGAGCAGTGCATTTAGAGAAATCCCCAGAGGTGTCACAGGTGTGAGTGTCTGAGGCTTGGTATGAGGGTTTTCTGCAATTCTGTTCAGTGTCTGTTCAACAAACACTGGTAGCTACCTGGATGTGTCATTTTACAGTGATTTACAAATCTCCCCACTTCCGATTGGTGAATTCTGATACTGAGTGTTCTACAACCAATTGACTGACTCATTGATTCTTCAGTGATTCATTGAGAATAGTGTTGTTATGTTGCCCTGGCTATCCTTGAACTGTTTGGCAAAAGCAGGCCTCCTACCTCAACCTAATGAGTTCAGAATCACCTGCAAGTGCCAACTTGCACAGCTTGAATATACCAATGCAGCTGGAAAAATATACTGGGGCTGCCCACACCCTTCTCATGGATGATTGGTCTTTTCTTGAGAGGGGAGTGACCAGGGCTTTTTCTTCAGACATTTCACCAAATTTATATACAAGGGAATTTATGTTCACTAGATCTTGCTCTTGGTTAAAAGCAATGTATAATGTGCAAAGGAAAATTACAAATTGTAGAACTTCATGTTAATTTTAACACTGTCTGTTCCATACTGTCACTGTGTCATGAACTATTTCAAATGATGACAAAAGTATCCTTGAAAAAGACAAAAGTATCCTTGAAAAAAAATTACAACATAAGATTTTGGTGCTGATCCTTACAAACTCCTCTAAAAGTGTTCAGATGAAGGCTGAGCCCCAGAGGAGGAGAAGCTAGGTTCAGACTGAATTATTGCATCACTCAAGCTGACGCAGACTGCATCTGCAACCCATGGTCAGGTGTTTTGCTACCAAACCTTGATATTACTCAATAGGCAACTCCCAAAGGAGAGAAGCACATATCTCTAAATGCAGCTTCTAGTTGGTGATAATACTAATTATGACTGAGGACAAAGAATTACCAGGGGCATCCCACAGATAAAGGCGTTCGTTCCTTGCTGAGTACCAGCTGAGCTGGACTTGCAAGGACCAGATGGCTCATCTTGGAGGGACATGAGACCACTGGGCTCTTCCTGCAGGTAAGGGATATGGATGTGAAATTACCAAACCTTCTCTCCTACACCTTTAAGTAGATACTTATATCTCTTATAATTTAAAAGTCTAATCGTGAAAATCATGAAATTTCCCTGCCAAATATTTTTAATATCCAGGCAGATTTCAGACAAGAAGAATGATAACAGAACCTGAGAATACTTAGATTTGGTCTGGAGAAGACAGTGCACATCTCTGTTGCTCACAAAGGGAAGCAAATCCCTGAAGTTCTGCTGACAAGCTGAGGACCATAGACACAAAATCTCTGAACCATTAGATCCTGACTCTATCGATCTGTTAAATACAGGAGCCAGGGTAATAGGAACAACAGATAATATCAGGACATTGAGAGGTTATTTATCTAAAACCAAAGACTGCTTCAAACATTAATAGTAAGCTAAATGAGATGCATTTTACTATTTCTTTATAGAAGATAGTATCAAGCTAGAATTTTTAAATCCAAATGATCACCACAGTTCCCATTGTGTGCTTCAGGCAAAAGTGCAGACTCTAGGGAGGCACTGTTGCTTGCAGTTTGGACCAGCTTTGTCACTAAGTAACTAAGACCATCAAGGTGATGAGTAGATGCTTATAGCATCAACTCTGGTTATTCCACATTATTTTTTTGTTTCTTTGGTCATTTCTAAAGCTTATTTTATTTGATTTGATCATCACATAAGGAAAAAGAGTGATATTCATTCTGCATGCCAAACACCTGAACATTTTCCTGACATTGAATATGTTGTCAGTAATGATTAGGTGAAAAGGAAACAAAGTCATTTTATTTTAGAAGGCTTAGCATTCTAAAGTATAAATGTTAAATTTTAGAACCCTCTTTTCATTTTTTCTTGGCATTGAAGATTGGAAAATTTTCAGTGGAAAAAGAAGGTCATTGAACTTTGGTGAGTTTGACAAACATACAATGGGACATTTAGAAGCAAAATGAAAATAAATAAAAGTAGTGTAGTGAAAATCGTTCCCACTCCATTAATCCTCTGTGATTTCAATTAAGAGTTTTTGTTTTGTTTTGTTTTTAGTTGTGGCTCATGTAAAGAAACATCATTGGCTTCTTCCAGATTCATAACAGATACTTCCTCCTCTGGAGCTGCCATGTAGTTAACTGCATAGGAAGGCGGAGGCCAAAGGTGGGATTGGAAGGGGACCCTTCTGTCCTCATTAAAAACAGTCTGAGAACAAGGTTTAGAATGGCCTGTGTGAGTGGCACTGTCAAAGTTCGTGCACCAGGTGTGCAGTGATTGATGTATGGTAAGAGGATCTGACTTGAGTAGTGAATCTGCATACTGGAAATCTCTGCTCCTGTGTAACTGCTGTCCTCTCAGGTGTACAGTAGGGAGATTTGACTCACTGTAGCTCACAAAACTTCCTCAGGGAATCTTCTACTGAAGAGATGGAAATGTATAGACATTACTATGAGAATATTGGAGTTGAAGGACAGGGCTATACCATATTCTTTTAAGTCATATTCAAAATGCTATTCAAAAAATCCTGCTCTCAATTTGGGGGACACCTGTACCTAGGAAAATCTAATAATCAAAACCAATCCTATAAACAAAGTGATGCTAACTCATTGTTTTCATTCAGTAAATCTTTGATGGGATTTCTCTGGTAACATTTCAAGTTATTCTGCATCAGAATACTTCAGTTAGATTCATACTTGCATGTCAGTTTTTGAAAAGTCTTTGTTGCTTTTCCTTCTTTCAGTTATGATTATTGGTCACATCCCCAAGGATCATCTGTGCCTGTGAGAACTTTGCCACCTCTTCCTGCCACACACTGCAGAAACACCCATCAATTCTCAGATCCCTCAAAAAGCAGGAGTCACTGTGGTGCTGCTCACCCAGTGCTGTGGCACTAGGGGGACTGGGAGTGTGTGTGTGTGTGTGTGTGTGTGTGTGTGTGTGTGTGTGGTGGAGGATGTTATCTATGTCTGCTTGGAGATAAAAAGTAACTCTTAGTGGTGCACATTCAACCATGAGATTTGTGAGCCTGGAATTTTAGAACCTTCTTCAAACTGCATTGGGTGAGGTTGTACCGACCCCCCAAAAATCATGCAAAACTGAGGGTTCACAGGCTTAGCCCCAGCTCTCCCCTTTCACTGCTATGAGCTCCGTTTTCTCTATGCCTAGCAGAATGGTGATAACTGCAGAAACTGAACACACTGATCATTCAAAGCAACTACGCCCAAATATGTAAGCATGTACAATAATGCCTGGCTAGGTTGTCATCAGCAACTTCCTTCATTTTGTTTAATATCTGAGAAAAGTATTGTCAGCATGTTAGTTGGCCATACCTGTTGGATCAAGGGACCATGAATTCAGCTTATTGTATCACTTGTTCTGGAGGTCAGAATTGTGAAACTGGTGTCCTTGATTGGAACTATGGTGTTGGGAAGGCTGGATTCCTTCACAGAAGCTTTAAGGGAGATTCTGTTGTTCAGCCATTTCCAATTCCTAAGAAGCCGCTCAGGTTTTTGAAGCCAAAAGTTTGTGTCCCTGTGACCTCGGCTCCCAGTACTGCATCTTCTCAGACTCTTCTGCCTGTCTCCTTCATTAGAGGCTCTTTATAGAGGCCAATGGTTTAATCTAGAGTGATGTTCTCATTTCATGGTTTTTAAGTTAAACACATGTGCAATGTCTTGTTTGCCATATATTGAAGATTAATAGATTTGATTCTGGAGAACAGGACATAGAAATTATGGAAGTCAAATTTTATGCAATGCTTGCTAAATCCGACACAGATTTATTAAATTAACCAAGTGGCACATTATTAATAAACATTAGAATATTTTAAGGCATATATTATCAGTAGAAGAAGGCAAAAAATTGCTAACATATTCTGTAGAATAATTTTCTGTTTTTTAATCTTATTACCATAAGATGAGTTCAACTCATATTATTCACATCCACAGTGTAATCTCTGGATATGTAAATTTCTGAGGTTACAGAGATATCTTTTTCATCACAACTGGGACTTGACTCAATGAGGACCTTCCACCGTGATGGCAGATTCCAAGGACATGGAAGTGGTAAGTCTCTTTGTCTTCATTTATGTATCTTGGTTCCCAGAATTGAAGTTCACCCCTCGTGCACGGAAAGCACACGCTCTGTCACAGAGCTACACCTCAGTCCCTAGTTCCTTCTTTCTTATGAACTTTGTTGACAACCTGGTTACTCCCAACAAATGTCTTGGTTTTAAGACGAAGGAAGGAATTGGCGCAAATTTGTGTGTATTAATATCAATGATTTGGGAGTAAATTTTATTGTTACTTGTCTTCAGAAATTTGTGATTCATTTTTGTTTCCTATAACTAAGCTTTAGGAAATATGGGCGGGTCTTTTTGTAAGGCATTTTTATTCTGAACTGAAAATATACCGAAGGACATTTGTATTTTCTTTCAGCATATTTTATGTACAAATGCAGAATTTTAGGAAGATAACATGTTAAGAAAAATGAAATATCCACAATTACTTTGTATTGACTGTGTTTTGAGATCCTTCATTTATTGATTGAGAAAATATTTACAATATGCCAGTCACTCTTTCAGATGACAGGAGTACCCAGTTCATAAAGTAGGCAGCACTCTTGCCCCCATGGAGAATTAAGAGACAAATACTAGGCAAGGTAAACACACCGTATGTCCAGTAGTGTCAAAAAATGGGTAGAAGCACAAATTGGCAAGGAGGATGAGAGTAGACACCTACTAGGAGGTGACTTTGTACAAAACCCTGAAGAACATGAGGCCATGACCTGCACAGATGTGGGGGCCCAGCTAGGTGACCAGTGAGGACTGGGGCTGTGAGCTGGGGTTACTCACGGGGCACAAAGGCAGGAGGTGAGTGCTGTATCCCTGGCACTGAAACAGACTGGATGTGGTAAAGAGCTCTGAACCTGATGAGCGCTAAACTGGAGAGCAGCAAGGTGCAGAGCGGGTCCCAACATCAGTGTGATTTCTGTGCTGAGACAGGAGGACAGAGCCCAAGGGCAGAGAGATCAGGGACAGTTCCTAGAACACCAGGCACAGATGATGATGGATTAGACCAGGATGCTAGCCCTGAGTGTGCTGAGAAGTGTGCATGCTTCATTTCAACTCTGTGAATTCTCTAGTATAACTATGAGATGTATTCTCTCACTGAGTATGGATTACACCTATTAAGAAGTTTTAAGTCTGAAATAGAATGCTATATTTAGTCACAGATGTCAACAAAAATCTCTGAGATAATACTTATTTCCACTTGTCTTGAGGAGATGGAACTCACATGAGGGGATGGGTGGCTGGAACCCCCTGTGAGGCACTTAGCTCTGAGCACAAGTGTTGGGGTGGGCAGCCAGTGAAGGAGGCCCCTCCTGCAGCTGCCCACACAGTCATCAGGCTCTGTCATCCAGTGAAGCTAGGACCAAGACCATTTAACTCTGCTGCCAGCAACTCAAGTTGTATTCAATGCAGTTGATTAGGCTTTACTGAAACTGTTTGTAATTTTCTTATTGGCATTATAATGCTTGAATTTTGTGAAGCTTAGTATGAATTAGACAGTAAAGCACAACCAATCAAACTCCAATCTCAGAAAAATGGTAATTTTTTTCAGTGTGTCTCACATACTTATAATAAAGGAATTTTAAATGTTTTATCTGACAGGTGAGTATGCTGAGCATCCTGCATTTTTATTCACTGACTCAGGCAGCCCTAGATGATGGGGAAAAGGCCAGAGTACTATGACTGGAGAAACAGTGAAATTGCAGCTTGTTCCTGGCCTTCCTGTGGATGTGACTGATTCTGACATACATAGAAATTTGGGTTTAAGTCACAATGGCCACTGGTGCATAACAAGGATGACATTTCACCACAGGTATGTTTGCTTTTCCTTTTCTCTTTTTAAAAACCTTTCATCCATCTAGTAAGAGCAAGAGAAGAAAATTCCTTCCTTCATGCAGCCATCTGCTCTCTTGCTCCTATATACCCACTCCATCGTGTTCCAGTCCTGAGGTAAGTACTGGCCTCACTGTACATAACATCGGCAGCCGCGTGGTAATGTTAGCTCTTTAATCTTGGCCTCTTGGTGACAACTCCAAGCTGACGAACAGCATGGTCTACCGCTTGCTCTATTGTCTCTTGGAGACAGAAATGCAAGGTGATCTTCAGAGTGTCTGAATTCTTCCTCTTGTACATATCATAGTAGTAATGAGGAGCCTAGCATAATCAGAACTGCTCTTTAAAAATCTAGTTTCAGCAGCTGTCTGCATAACACCTAGAGGGTGATAAAATGATGAGATAAGCTATCAGGCAATCTAAGGTACCAATCTCAACAGCAGTAATAAGAAACAAAAATGGAAAGACAGGGAAGGTGTAATCCATGAGCACCTGTGAATATCCTAACCCTTCACTCCCTGAGTTATACCCTTTACCCATATTCATTCATTTAATTAGTGAAGTTCCCACCTTTTTCTCCAATTGGAATCCCTTAGACCTCCTGGGAACCGAGAGACGGTGAATGAATATAGGTGGTCAAACTCTGCTGCACACATAGCATGCCCCACTTCTATCAGGCAGTCACCATAAACTACATAAACTATGCCTAGGGACATAAATACAGATCTAACAGCTGAGCTCCATCAGAGGAGACAGCCACAGTTACTGCTGTGTGACACAATTCCTTCCGTTTTTCTCTAGTTCTCTACTCTGGAAAGCTGCATCCCATCCAGGACCCTGTGCAGTGTGACCGTCATCACAGGATCGCCCCACATTGAATGCACTGGGTCTCACTTTTCTTCCTGTGCCCCTGCTCAGTGAAGCTGCCATTGGCAATGTTAGAGAGAAACACAACTTCCTCCTCTGACTTCACACTCCTGGGACTTCTAGTGAACAGTGAGGCTACAGGAATCATATTTACAGTTATCTTTGCTATCTTTGTGGTAGCTGTAACAGCAAACTTGGTCATGATATTCCTGATTCAGGTGGACCCTCAACTCCACACCCCCATGTACTTCCTGCTCAGCCAGCTCTCCATCATGGACACCCTTTTCATTTGCACCACTGTCCCAAAGCTCCTGGTGGACATGGTTTCCACAGAGAAGACCATTTCCTTTGTGGCCTGCGGAATCCAGATCTTTCTCTACTTGACCATGATTGGCTCAGAGTTCTTCCTGCTGGGACTCATGGCCTATGACCGTTATGTGGCTGTCTGCAACCCTCTCAGGTACCCGGTTCTGATGAACCGCAAGGTGTGCCTTCTACTGGCTGCTGGTGCCTGGTTTGGTGGCTCTCTTGATGGCTTTCTACTCACCCCCATCACCATGAATGTCCCCTACTGTGGCTCACGCAGTATCAACCACTTCTTCTGTGAGATCCCTGCAGTGCTCAAGCTGGCCTGTGCAGACACATCCTTGTATGAGACCCTGATGTACATCTGCTGCGTGCTCATGCTGCTCATCCCCATCTCCATCATCTCCGCCTCCTACTCTCTCATCTTGTTAACAGTCCACCGCATGCGCTCTGCAGAAGGCCGCAAGAAGGCCTTCACCACATGTTCATCCCACCTGACTGTTGTCAGCATTTTCTATGGGGCTGCCTTCTACACATATGTGTTGCCCCAGTCATTCCACACGCCTGAGCAGGACAAGGTGGTGTCCGCCTTCTATACCATTGTCACGCCCATGCTTAACCCACTCATCTACAGCCTCAGAAACAAGGACGTCACAGGGGCATCTAGGAGGATATTCACACGCTGCTCTTCATCTCAGAAAGTAGGAATGGGAAGCAGCTAGAGACTCAGTGACAAGAAAACAGGTCTTCCCAAGAGCCTCCTTCAGGACTTCTGATCTACCTGAGACCATTTGGTCAGCTATCATAATGGACTTTCTATTGAACATTAAAAGGATTCATTGCATTTCAAGTCTTGCTCTGAAAAGAAAGAGTATTTCATGAGTTGTGTGGAGATTGAGGACAAATTATCAAAAGCAATTTATTACTAAGGATATTCATCAGCTCTTGGTTCCTGTTTCTAGAGGAAAAACTGAAATCGCAGGGTTCATAGCAACCCTTTCACCGTGAACCAGGTCTCCTTCAATATTTATGCTTGGTTGAAACAAACAAAAATACTAAACAGATACCAATTTGTTGTGCTAAATATCCATTGTCATTTTGGTATGAACAAAGTAAAAGAGGCAAGTCACACAATTTAATCGTGTTTTCCTTTAGGGATAAATAACAATGAACTGTACACTCTGATCAATTTGGAATTTTCAGGGCTGAGTACAGCAGATGCCAAATACTTGGCCCATAATCAGTGCATGAATTGAATGGAACCAATTATTAATGAGCATCACACATCGCACAAATGCTCAAATGGAAGAGACTAACATTTAACATATGAGAACCCTGCCATGCCCTGCTTAGAGGATCAAATGACAACCTGCTATGCATCCAAGCTCAGAAACTTCAAATTCTCCAGTTCTATGCGACACAACAAGGCACATGAAGGCACTTGGGGTTCAGTTCTGTGTGTGACAGGAAGAACCTCCATAGAGCTTTCTGCAGAGGTGTGACATGATAAGATGCACATTTTTAAAGAATCCCTGTTTAGGGGAGCAGAGAAAGGATCAGGAAACAAATATGGATGCAGAAAGATAACACTAGAGGCTCTAAAAAAGACAAACTAATGTGGGGTGGAGACCAAATAAGAGTTAGCTCACTGATATTTATATATGTTGAAACTAAATGTAGAAAAATTGGAACACACTGATTTTCTATTTAAGTGAACAGAAAATGAAGTTTTATTTCTTGAAGTTTTGAAGACTTCTGAATTGCTTATTAAGTCATCTGTTGTCAAGATAATTATTAAAGCCTATTAAATATATAGTCCTATGTTTAGTCAAGTGGAGTGCAAACTGGAGTTCTAAGCTCAGGAATATATTTGACAATCTTTAGGATGTAAAGATTTCTACAGACACAGACATAGTCAATTCAGGTGGTCTTCGAAAGTTATCTGAGGTCATTTTCTTATAGGAAAAAGTTTTATACTCACCATGAAACAGTTTGGGCCAAATAAGAATTAAATGGAGCAAGAAATCATTTGATGGGTAAAACAACACTCAGAGAGACAAATGAAGAAAGTAGGTATGGAGGGAGAGGAAAATCAACTGGTGCAAGTACAGTTTGTTATTAGATTAAGATGAGAAATGAGATGTGATCTTTGTTTTAGAAATGGGAAAATCACTTGAGATATTAATCACGAAATTTCAGTGGACATGGTCTTGGAATGAAAATGAACTCAAGGTATAAAAAGAGTGGGAGTTGACAAGTTGAGTAGAGTGTAATTTTTAAAGATAGTGGAGAAATTGACAGAAGGAAAGCCTCTCACTTCCTCCTAATTTGGGATTGAGTTGAATTTCATATAAGCCTGTTGTCAGATTTCCCATGAGATGGACTCAGTAGGGTGCCTAGTGAAGAGTAAGCCTCTAGGTTTTAACTACAATTATGAGTTATAACAACAAAGACAAATAAAGCAACAGCAAGTTTTATCATTATTGCCACAAATGACCATTACTTCGATAAGGATAACATCGCACAGTCACTTATGCTTTTTCAATGTCTATAACTGCAACATGCAATGGATGTGTCTTGGCTCTGTTTTAATGAATTGATCTTTGGAGGCAATTAAAAACTGTACATTCAACATTCTTGCCTGAGGGAGGCTTCTTGGAGAGCACAGAATGATTTGGCATCATAAAGTGACAACCTTTCACTTCCAGATCCTGAGAACTCATGTGTAGAAGTTTAAGATATTCCCCCCTGTAATCTAAGCTTCTGGATAGCTTTGGGACACTTGAGTTACATTTAAAGGAGGGAAAAATTCTTGCCCTAACCATACTTCTTGTGCTCAATAAATTTCCTGTTCCTTTTACTATATTTCTTTAAAATACTCCATCTCCTATCTTTGTACCAATACTTCATTATTCAAGGTTTTGAAAGCACAGTCTCAAATTAATATTTTACTTGTATTAATTTTTACTCCATCCTCCCTTTTCAGAGGCAATTTAATGGTATTAAAGCCATATGCTTGCGAGGAAACCCATCTGAGTTTGAATCTTGGCATTTTCATTTCCAATCTGTGCTCCTGTGAGTATACTACTCAACTTCTCTGTGCCACCATTTATGTCTTGCTGAGAGTTAATCCCATGGCAAATATAGGAGTGGCTTCTTAAGGCAGATGTGCAATAAATCTGCCGCTAATGCTCCTGAGACAAGGGGCTCTGTCTTTGCCATCTGGTCCATTGGCATTATGTGGGTTCTTTATTCAGAGCTCTCACTAGATAGGAGCTTCTCTGGATTCCTAAACAGTTTATACCTCAGGCACTGCAGTCATGGTCATTTGCAGTTCTACCTGAGGCTTTTAAAGTTACGCCTTTGCCTTTACTGGTTGATCTGTCTCCACAATGAACAAAATCTCCCCAGACATTTTCAGCATCTATCTGGACATGAGCAGAAAGTGGTGCTACAGGACAAATTTCACATTATCCTTCTGCCTGTGGTTAGTGACCATCTCTGAACAACACTGTGCCTGGTTTGTTCTTTAAAACAATGTGAATCATTTTCAGTTAAAGTGCACACACAAATGCACACACACACACACACACACACACACACACACACACACACACACACACACAACAGCTGAACCCTATAACTGGTGCCTTTGAACAGCTGAAGGTGACTTCCCTGTCCCTGTCCCCTTGCCCTCTGCTCTCATAGGTGTGTTGGCACCATCAGCTCTAACAGGAGACTCCTTCTGCACTTGACAGTACAGCTTGTCTGAGTCTCATGCTAGCTCCACTGATCACAGCTGTGAACATCACCCAACCTTGAACTTCAATTTCTTCTGCTACGTGAGCAGTGAATGTGTTAGTACTTGTAGAGCTCTGTGCTGTATCTCAGTTCTTGTTAGCATCATTCAACATCATCAACACCATCATCAGGATCATCATCACCACCATGTAGCACATTCTGGGTACATCTGGATTGAAGACCCAGGCTTGCAGGTCCAACACCTGAGTGCAGCTTTACCTGCTCTATTCTACTCTGCAACTGCTCCACGAACACTTAGAAAATTATACCTTATATGAAAACTTTCTATGACTATTTCATTAATTACTTTACGATGTAAGAATCAATGTAATCCAAGTGTAAACTTTAAATATATATTAATGTATTTAAAATGCTTCTTACATATATTGAAATATTTTTCATAGTCAATTTCCCTCAAGTTTTTGCAAAGTGCTAAAACAATGGGAAACATTTGCTTGGGGATATGTGCTCACAGTTGTTTTATATTATTCATAATTTACATTATTGCGTGTTAGTAATACAGAAGGGTGAGGTTCCTTTGGGGCATCTGGTACATACATCTGTCATATCTTTATTATGTTCAATTCCATTACTCCCACACTTTTCTGTGAATTAACTCTGATCCCTTTTTCAATCTCCCAAATCTACTTTCCCATACCCCGATGTCTCTCCTTTATTTGTTCATTTGCTAATCTTTAGCTCATAGAACTTTTGGAGTCTGGCTCATTTTGTCTAAGATTATGTTCCCAAATTCATTAATTTTCCAGCAAATGACACTGTCATTTTTCCTTATGGTTAGATTATATAATTCATTCATTCATATAATTCTTCATTCATCATTTGATGGCTGCTAGTCTTTTTCCACAGCTAAAGTATTAAGAATTTCACCTCTATAAATACATGCTCATATGTATGCTGTCTTCAGTTGTTTTAGCAATATACCCAGGACAGTATTTGCAAAATGGTATTTTTCGTTTTAGTTTCTTAAGCATCTCCACACGGATTTCTATAGTGATTATACTGGTTTATCTTCTCACCAAAAATGTGGAAGGATTCCCTTTTCCCCATATCCAAGCGAAAACTCATCATTTTCTATGTTCTTGATGGTAGCCATTTTGACTGGGGTAAGATGAGACCCCTCCTCCAGAACTAGATGAGTTCTCTATACTTATTGGCCATGTTGCTGCTTCTGTTGAAAAAAATCTATTCAATCTATTTGCTCACTTTTTTGTCACTTTTAAAGTGTTGTTATATTTTATATATTCTATATATTTGTCTCCGACTAGAATCAAATGGTTTATCTCATTCTGTAGCTTGTTCTTCCACTCTGCTTGTTCCTTTTGCTGTTCAGAAACTTTTGAATTTATGTAACCCTATTTGTTCATCATCAATATTATTTTCTGAGCTATTAGAGTTCTCCTCTGGAAGCCTTTCCTTATTATCTATGTCTTCAAGTGTTTCTCCTGTTATCTTCCAGCATTTCAATGTTTCTGGTATTATATCTACCTTGATTTGATTTTAGAATAAGAAGAGAGACAGGGATCTAACTTCAGTTTTCTGCAGAACTCCTAAGTTTTGTCAACATCATTTCTTTTCCTTATTTGTTTGTTTTTTGGTGTTTTTTATTTAAAGAAAAAAGAGAAAAAGGGTAGAGAAAACACATAATTTCAAAAATATAAACACTAAGAAATCACTAGTTGGAAAACTACATATTGTATTCTTAGAAATAGTTGTTCAAGTTACAAAAGGAAAGCATACAAAGTAGACATTCAAATAGTAAGACTGCAAACCATTCTGTTCAAATATCCCACAAAAATTTAGTAATATGGTTATCATTCCTGCACACTTAGACATATAACGAGGTATATCCATACCTCCATAAGTGCTTTAGAGCACTTTCTTTTCCTCTCTTTTTTATAATAGCAATTACACATTTGGAGTTTTATTACTCCTACATTTCTTATTGCTTTTTACACACAATGTGACATTTATAAATATGATTCTTATTTATTTCACTAATGAGGACAGCCTCAGGTTGTCTCTATTTGCCTATGAAGGTCTCAAGATCATACATTTTTATAGCTAAGTAATATTCCATTGTATAAAAATACCACATCTTTTTCATCCATTCCACAGTTGATGGACATCTCGGTTGTTTCCCAGATTTAGCTACTACAAACTGTGCTGCTATGAACATGGGTGCCCATGTATTACTGTGGTATGACATTTTCAGTTTTTCTGGGAAAATACCCAGGATGAAAATAGCTGGACTGAATGGAACTTCCAATCCTAGTCTTCTGAGAATTCTCCATACAGATTTCCATAGAGGTTGCATCAGTCTACACTCCCAACAACAGTGGACCAGTGTTCCTTTTTCCCCACAGCCTTGCCAACATTTGTTATCAGTTGATTTCTTGATAGCAGCTATTCTGTCTGGAGTGAGATGAAATCTCAATGCTGTTTTAACTTGCATTTCTCAAATAACCAGTGAACTTTTCTTCATGTATTTATTTGCCATTTGTATATCTTCATTTGAGAACTGTGTGTTCATCTCAGATGCCCATTTTTGGAGAGGGTCTTTGAATTTGGGGGGCTTGATGTTTTTCAATTCTTTGTATGTTCTGGTTATAAGTCCTTTGTCTGAGGGATTGCTGGCTAAATTTTTTTTCCATTTTGTGAGTTTTCCTTTCACTCTGTTGGTGATTTCTTTTGAAGTGCAGAAACTTTTCAATAATATGAGATCCCAATTGACGATTCTTTCAAGTGTTTCTCATGCAGTTTGCATTTTGTTCATAAATCCTTTGCCTATCTCTATGTCTCCAAGGTTTCTACCTACCTTGTCTTCCAGTATATTTAGTGTTTCTGTATTAATATTTAGGTCTTGGATCCATTTTGACTTTAATTTAGTGCATGGTGATAGGCAAGGATCTAGTTTCAGTCTTCAGCATGTGGAGAGTCAACTTTTCCAACACCATTTATTAAAGAAGCTATCCCTCTTTGTCAAGTATCAGGTGGCTGAGTGTCTTTGTAGTTGTGTTTACATCTTCTAATCTGTTCCATTGCTCCTCAGGTCTATTTCTTTGTCAGTACCATGCTGATTTTATCACTGTGGCTTTCTAGTATAGCTTCAATTCAGGAATTGAGATGCCTCCTGCCTTGCCTTTATTGCCCAGAATTGCTTTTGCTATTCTGGGTTTCATCTGTTTGCAAATGAGTTTTAGGAGTGTTTTCTCTAGATCGAGGAGGTATGTTAATGGTATTTTGCTTGAGATTGCATTAAATCTGTGTAAGAGTTTTGGGAGTATGGCCATTTTCACAATGTTGATTCTTCCTAATCAAGAGCAAGGAATATCCTTCCATTTTCTAATATCCTCTTCAATCTCCTTTTTTAGCATAGCATAATTTTCAGCATATAGGTCTTTTACATTCTAGTTAGGTTGATTCCTAAGTATTTCGTTTATTTAGATGCAATTGTGAAAGGTGATATTTCCATAATTTCTCTCTCAGTGAGTTTTTTGTTTGTGTACAAGGACGCTATTTATTTTTGAGCACTGACTTTGTATCCAGCTACACTGCTGAATTTGTTTAATACTTCTAGTAGTCTTTTAATGAAGTTTTTTTGGGCCTTCTATATAGAGTATCATGTCATCTGCAAATAGTGATAATTTAACTTCTTCCTTTCCTATCTTTATTCCTTTTATTTCTCTATCTTGTCTGGTTGCCCTGCCTAATTTCCAGAAGTATATTGAATAGGAGTGGTGATAGTGGGCATCGTCTTGTTCATTTTAAAGTGAAAGCTTTCAGTTTATGTCCATTTAGAATAATGTTAGCTGTTGGTTTGTCATAGATGGCCTTTATAAGATTGAGTTAAACACCATCTATTCCTAGTTTCTGAAGGGTTTTTACCATGAAAATGTGTTGGACTTTAGCAAAAGCTTTTTCTGCATCTATTGAGATGACCATGTGGTTTTTGCTTTTGGCTCTGTTGATGTGGTGTATTACATTTACTGATTTGCATATGTTAAACCATCCCTGCATTCTGGGGATGAATCCCACTTCATCATGATATATAATCTTCTGGATGATTTGCTGCATTCTATTTGCCAGTACTTTATTAAGAATCTTTGCATTAATGTTCATTAGTGAGATTAGTCTATAATTCTCCTTTTTGGTTGGGTCTTTCTCTGGTTTTGGTATCAGAGTAACATTTGCCTTCAGGAATGATTTAGGGAGGATTGCTTCCTCTTCAATTTCATTGAAGAGTTTAAGAAGTATTGGCATCAAATCTTCTCTAAATTTCTTGTAGAATTCAGCCGTGAATCGATCAGGATCTTCACTTTTCTTTGTTGGTAAGTTTTTAATTATGTTTTCAATTTCAGTAGCTGATACTGGGTTATTCAAAATTGCTGTCCCTTCTTGGCTGAGCTTTGTAGTTCATATGTTTCTAGAAATCTGCCCATTTCCTCTGTGCTTTCCACGCTATGTGAACAGAGATTTTCAAAGTAGGTATTCATGATCTTTTGAATTTCCATGGGATCTGTAATGATTTCTCCCTTTTCAGTCCTTATTGTGTGAATTCGGGCTTTTTCTTTCTTTTTCTTTATAAGATTACCTAGACGTTTGTCAATTTTATTTGTTCTCTCAAAAAAGCAGCTTTTTGACTCATTAATTCCTTGTATTTTTTAGTTTCAATTGCATTGATTTCTGCTCAGATCTTTACAATTTCCTCTCTTCTATGTGCTTTGGGTTTAACTTGCTCTTGTTTTTCTAGAAGTTTGAGATGAAGCATTAGGTTCATCTTTTTTATTTGTGCTTATTCTGTTTTCTTAATATGACAATTTATTGCTATATATTTCCCTCTTAAGACCACTTTCATTGCATCCCACAGATTACAGTATGTTGTTTCCACATTTTCATAGATATTGCTTTATTTCTTCCTTAATTTCATGTGTAGCTCACTGGTTGTTCAAAAGGTTGTTATTTAATTTCAGTGCACTATAGTCAGATATTACACGTGGGATAATTTCAATACCTTTGCAGTTACTTAAGAAAGTTTTATGAGATAATATATCGTCTATTTTGGAGAATGTTCCATGTGCAACTGTGAAGAATGTGTATTCTGATGTGGTTGGAACACTCTGTAAACATAATAAGTCCAACTGCTCACAGGTATGATTCAGTTCTATTATTTCTTTGATGACTTTTTGTCCAGTTAATCTATCTCTTTGTGACAATGGGTGTTAAGGTCCCCTATTATAATTGTGATCTTATGCATTTAGTTTTTCATGTCCATTAGTATCTGTCTTATATAGTTGGGTGCTCCTGTATTTGGTGCATATATATTTATAATTGTTAGGGCTTCCTCTTGAATTTTTCCACTAATGAGTATGTAGTGACCTTCCTTATCTCTTTTAATCATTTTAGGTTTAAGTTCATGTTGTCTGCAAATAGAATAGTTACCCCTGCTTTTTTCTGGATTCCTCTTGCATGGCATACTCTTTTCCATCCTTTGACTTTTAATCTATGAGTTTCCTTTTGGGTCAGATGTGTTTCTTGTATACAGCTTATTGTGGAATCACGTTTCTTGACCCACTCTGTCAACCTCTTTCTTTTGATAGATGAATTCAGCCTATTTACATTTATGGATATCACTGATATGTACTGGCTCGACTTTGCCATGTTGCGTTCCTATTGCTGGTTTTCAGGTTCCCCCCCCCCTTGTTAATTTTCTTGTCCAGCCTGGTGGTTTCTTTCTGTTGTCATTCTGCCAATTGGGGTCATTTTTATCTCTATCTAGCATGTCTTTCAGTACTCGTGTTTGGTGGACATGCATTCCTTTAGTTGTTCTTTGTCATGGAAGTATCTTGTTTCTCCATTAAATTTGAAAGACAGTTTTTCTGAGTACATCAGTGTGGGTTGAAAGTTGTTTTCTTTCAGGGCTTGAAATACCTCACTCCAAGCTCGTCTTAACTTGAAGGTTTGTGCTGAAAAGTCTGCCGTGATTCTAATAGGCTTTCCATGATAGGTAAGTTGTATCTGTTCTCTAGCAGCTTTTAGTATTCTTTTTCTATGCTGTATGTCTAAGATCTTAATATGTCTGGGTGTAGATTTATGTTGGCTGTGACTGTTTGGCATTCTGTATGCTTCACTTATTTGTATATCAGATTTTTTCCCTACATGTGGGAAATTTTCTGCTATTATTTCTATGAATAGTTTAGTTCTGTTATTTTCATTGACTCCTGCATCTTCACTGATGCCTATTAGTGTTATATTGTTTCTCTTGCATTGTCTTGAAGCTACTGGATTGTCATTTCATGCTACTTTGTTGTTTTATAAGTTCTACCCTTTCATGATCCCTATCTGCAACCCTGTCTTCAAGGTCTGAAATTCTATCCTCGGCTTCATTTGAATTGTTTTGCCAGCTTTCAATAGTTTTTGTTTCTTGGGTATCTCTTTGAATTTGTTTCATGAATTCTGCTTGTTTTCTGCATTGTTCATTCAAAGTTTCAATCAATTTCCCATTCTCCTGTATTTTTTATCTATTTCTTCTCTAGCTATGTTGAGCAACTTATGTACTAAGGTTGTTATTTCTGTCTTTACATAAGCCATTATTTCTAATTTGATTTTCTCTATAGCCTCACGGATTTGTCTCTTTACTTCATTTGCTATATTTTCCAAGATTCCTGGTATATGACTTTTATAGTCCTCTATTTCAGTGTCACCTGTACTTGCTCTTATTGGACTAGATGTTTGAAACTGCATTTTGCCTTTTCTTTTTTGTCTTTTTTTTTTTCATTTTTATTGGTACCAGGGATTGAACTCATGACTGCCTACTTGCAAGGCAGGTGCTTACGCTACAGAGCTAAATCCCCAGCCCCGCATTTTGCCTTTTTGTCATTTTCACCTTTTGGACAAATATTTGGTCTCTCAATCCCAACAGTCTCAACTGTCCATAGTGTGAGTTTTAGGGTGCTGTGTGGTTGATGTTTGTCCAATTGCTGCGTACCACCAATTCCTCCTGCAGGACCTGTTGGGTGAGTCCTATATTATTTCTAGCTAACTAGCCTAGAAGTATTGATGTAGGTCAACTCTTAGTTCCTGCTGTTGCTATGCTTTCAGGTTGTTGCAGGTCATCAGCTCTCCCTGTCTATAGTGTTTGTGTCAGATGACGCCCTACTGTGTCACTATGGAGTCTCATAAACTCTTTTAATTTTCTCCAAATTAGGGGAGGCCTTATTGGCGCACTCCTTAATCTGTCTGATGTTCTCTGTATGGAGGAGGGTATTATCCACTCTCTTGCCAGGTTCATCAAGGTCTTATAGTTGGAGGGAGTTTCACTTCTGTTCCTATTTACCCACTGCAGACCTCTGTTTTAGGAGCATACTCACCACACTGACTGGAGCCTACTGAAGTCTTCTGTTTGAATGAAGGGTTCCTGAGACTCCCACATCCAGCCAGCATTGCAATTCACTGTAGTCCAAGGTTCTGGGAGAAGTGGTTGGACCCAAAGATCCTCTGCAGTACTAGATCCAGGAGGTGGGTGAGTTCCCCAAGGGATGGGCCCACAGTGGCAGTCAGGCAACCCGGGCCTGCCGGGGCAGCCCAAGTGTTCCTGCAGAGGGACAGGCCCAGTAGCAGCAGCCCCAGGTGGCTAGGTCATGCCAGGGCATCCCAGGTGTTCACAGCCGAGGGGTGGACCCAGCGGGAGCAGTCTGAGGTGACCATGGCTTGCCAGGCTGGCCCATGTGTTCCCATAGAGGAACAGGCCCAGTGGCAGCAGTCCCAGGTGGCTATCTTGCCAGGGAATCTCAGATGTTCCCATGGAGGGGCAGGCCCCACGGTGACAGTCTCAGATGGCTAGGTCTTGCCAGGGCTTCTCAGGTGTTCACAGCTGAGGGGTGGGTGCAATGGCAGCAATCCCAGGCAGCTAGATCATGCCAGGGCATCCCCCAACATCATTTCTTAAAGAGGCTGTCTTTGTTCATGCTTTTGGATTTTATCAAAATCCAGGTGGCTTCAAGTGCATAGGGTCATTTGTTTGTCTTGTGTTCCACTTCATTTTGTCTACATTTTTGTAGACAAGCAGGGCTGGTGCTGGTTGTGTTTTGCTGTATTGCTGCAGTATGACTTGAAATGTAGTATTGTGATGTCTCCAGCAGTACTCTTTTAGCTCACGGTTTCAACTATACTGAGTTATTTCACACAAATTTTAAGACGTTTAACTAGTTCTGTGAAGAATGATTTTGGTATTTTAATAGAAATTGAAACTACATCTGTGGATTGCCTTTGGTAATAGTGTCCTCTTAATACTAGTTCTGACCCATGAACAAGAATTCCTACTTTCTAACATTCCCTTGAACCCCTTTCTTCAAATTTCTGTAATTATCATTACAGAAGCCTTTCTCTTCCTTGATGAAGTTGGCTCCTCTGTGTTTAATTACTATTAAAGCTAATGTGAATTGTTTTCTTGATTCTTAGTGGACTCATTACTTGTGTACAGAAATGTGACTTTTTGTGTGTTGATGTTGATGGCCATTTGCAGAATTCATGAGATCTAAGTTTTCTAGGTTTCCTAGAGACAATCTGACTTTTTACTTTGTATTCATATTTCTTTTATTTCATTCTCTTGCCTAATTATTCTGGCTAGAGTTTTAAGTGCCATATTGAATATGAGTGGTGCAATTGACGTCTTCTTATTCCTAACTTTTAAAGGGAAACTTCTCAGTTTTTCCCCATTTCCCTATAGTATCAGTAGTGAGTTTGTCAAATATACTTTTACCAATGAGGTAGGTTCACTTTAGACAGGTTTTCATTTGCATTACTATGAACCTATGCAGATTTTGTGATAGTCATTTTCTTTATGTATTGAGATGATATGGTTTTTAAGCCTGATTCTGTTCATATAGTATATCACACAAATTTATCCTGACTTACCTTGATTTTACATTACAAATCTACATTGATTTACCTATGTTGAACCATTTTTGCACCCCTACAACAAAACTAACTTGGCCATTGTGTATGACCTTTTTCATGTGTTGCTGAATTCTGGTTGTAAGAATCTTACCTCTATTTTAACATCTATTTTTATCTATAATGTTCAACTGTTATTTTTTTTCTGGGTTTCTAGTCCAGTGTTCATAGCAGGGTAGTGCTGGCTTCTGAAAATTTAGTTTGCAAGCATTCCTTCATTTTCTAGTACATGGAAAATTTTCAGAAGCACTCGTGTTATTCTCTAAAGATTTGATACCATTTATGAGTCAATCCATTAGGTCCTGGGTTTTTGTTACTTAGAGTGCTTTAATTATTGCATCAAATCCATTGTTTATTACTGACCTGTTGAACTTCTTGGTTACATTTTAATGTATTCTATGTGTGTAGAAATTTATCCATTTCTTTTGGAAGCCAAATTTATTTGAATACATTTTTAAAATGATTTCTAACAATTCTTTGGCTTTCAGGGATGAGTATTGTAATTTCACCATTTTCATATCAAATGTTATTAATTTGAATTTTCTCTCATTTTATACGCTTAGCTGGGGCTTTATCGGTCTTTTTCATTTTAAAATCCAATTCTTTGATTCACTGCTCATTTGCAGTTCTGTTAATCTCAAGTTCATTTATGTTCACTGTTGTCTTCATTATGGCTTTCCTTCTTTTGGCTTTAGGTTTGGTTTGTTCTTGATTTTCTAGGCCCTTAAGCTGCATAATTAGGTTATTTTCTCAGTTTGACTCCATTTTCCTATTGAAGGAACTCATGCTTTTAAATTTTGCTCTTAGAATTGCTGGTATTACACCCTACAACTTGTTACTTTTTTTCATTTTTAGTGATTCTAAGAAATTTGAAATGTCTCCTCTGATTTTTCCATGACCAAATGATTTAGCAAGAGTGTGATACTCAATATTGATGTTTTTGTGTAGGCTCTGGTTTTCTTTGCTGTTGATTTATAGCTTTAGTCCATTAAAATCTGATAGGAAGCATGCAAGTTCTTTCTTTCTTTTTCTTTCTTTCTTTTCAGTCTCTTAAACTATTTACTGCCTAAAATGTTTTGGGGGGGAAAGTTCCTCAAGCTGCTGAAAAGAATGTTTATTTTGCTGTTGTTATATGGAACATACTGTTAATGTATGCTAAATCCATCTGATCAATAGTATATTTAATTCTGATTTGTTGTTGTTGATATTTTTGGTCTGGAAGATCTGTCACGGTGGGAAGATGAGATGCTGAAATCCTTTGTAATGTTACTGGGCCTCTTTCCTTTAAGATCCAAGTAGATTTTGCTTTACAAAAATGACTGTGCCAATGTTCAGTGTGTATATATTTGCAAATGTTCTCTCTTCTTCATGCATTGTTCTCTTTACAAATATTTGGTGGTCTTCCTTCTCAGATACATTTTAGTTTGAAGTCTATTTTCTAAGCTTTAAATATAACTATTTGAGCTTGCTTTCAGCCTCCAGACACTTGGAGTAACATTTTCCATTCTCTCAATTTCCACATGTGAATGTATTTGCATGTGAAACTTGCTTGTTGCAGGTAATGCAGAATTGGGTCTTGTTTTTTATCCAATCTGTCAATCTTTGTCTTTTAATTGGACTGTTAAGATACATTAATCACTAGTATTTAGAAGCATATAGTAATTTCTATCATTTTTTTTCTTTCTCTAGTGCTTAATTCATTTTTCTTCCGCATTAGTTGTCAAATCCTCAATGAGATTTATTCTATCAGTCTCATGGTTCTCTTTGTCTATGTTTAGGATTCCTTAAGTATTTTATGCAATTCTGGATTAGTGACCATGGATTTTTTTAGTCTTCAGTTATCAAAGTAGGTTTTTATTTCATGAATTTGAGCAGTAACATCCTGTAATTAGAGTTGACAACTATTTTCTTTCATGCCTGACATACATTACATTAAGCTCTCCTGACCTTTAAAATTTCTGTTGAGAAATATATTCTGTTTGGTTTGGATTTAAAGATGATTTGTCAGCTTTCTCTAAACAGCTATAAATATTTTTGTTGTGAATTTTTCACCTTTTAACTACAGTATGTTGTGGAGAGGTTCTTTCTGGTCATGTCTAGGTAGGGCTATAATGCCTCTACTATTTAAGCATCCATTGCACTCCCCAAATGTGGAATTTTTCTGCAATAATTTTAGTGCAACTAGCCTATAATACATCACCTTCCTCTAAACCAATGAGCTTTAATTTTTTGAGTATTTATCCAAGACTGCATAATCTGTTCAATGTTATTTTTCCATGGATAGTCTGAATGCTCTAGCATACACACTTTGTCTTCAAGACCTTATATTCTTTCTTGTGGTTTAAGCTGCTGACAGTCAAGTTTCAGTTGAGTTGTCATTTGACTTATTAAGTCTTAATTTTCAGAACTTTTGTTTGATTCATTTTTAGAAAATCTACCTCTTTACTGGTCTTTCACATTCTGCATTGTCTTGTGTATTTCACAGTGGTTTCTGTCTCCTTTTTGATCCACTTAATCATTTTAACCATGGGGTTTTTAATTTATTATTAAATTTTATCTATTTCAGTACCTGTTGGGTTAGCTTTTGAGGTATTTTCAATTTTTGGAGACATACTGCCTTTTATTGTCATTACAGCTGTGTTTTTGTGCTCCAGTCTGCAGACCAGTTGGAAAGGATGTCTCTTCCAGAGTTTTCTCGGTGTCATTTTTAGAAAGTAGCCTTTCATTTGTGATGTGTTCTGCTTATGGAAGTCTCCATGGGAAACTTTCTTCCTGTCTGTTTCACATGTAGGTTCTAAGAATGATTCACACAAAGTTTTCGAGAGAACAAAAGACAAATCATTTGCATTGAACCCAAACTGACTATGAATGGAGGAGCAGAACAACACAGAGTAGGCAGTCATGGAATAGGAGGGTAATGAACAATACAAGTGCTTCCTGCTTCTTGGCTGGTTGGTTTTACAAGCAAATGCAATCTCACCTTAATGGCTACCATACAGGAAAGTCATATGGAGTAGATCTCTTTTCTCCTTCTGTTAGTTTAGCCCAAAATATGTGATTTAAGTAAGATCTTTCTATTACTTCTTTCTTTTTCCAGCATTCAATGAATATCGCACATCTCAGAGTCTTAGAATTCTCACACAAGGGTAAGTTTCACTGATTTTTAAAAAAATATTCCCGTTTTATATTTTTAAGAAGTTATACATATTGACAACTGATTCATGAGAAGCACTATGCTTATGTTTCTTATTAGTACTTTTTTTGCTTCTTCCTATAATAAGACACATTTTATGTTTTCTCTGCTTATCTATCATACACATATGTTTTGTACTAATATATATCCTACTGAAAAAGGGAATACTTCAGGAATTATCTCAGTTGCCTTTTATTTTTCTCACCCTGCTACCTCTTTCCTCCTGCCTGCTTGCCTTTTGGCTTACCCCTTTACCTGAGTTCTTTGTCACCTGGATCCTACACTCTAATGCTTGATGCATTGTGTCAACTTGAGAAAATTAAGAGGCTTAACTCAGCAATTCCATGCGCTGCAGTGTAAAGGACATCCCCTTAGCACTCTAGGATGTTGGTTATTGTGTCAACTTGAGGATGCAGGGTCCTCACTTTGTAAACTTCCTGAGCCTATGCAAGGGGAGGGTGTTGGGAGCCGTGGCACTGTCAAGTCATCAGACGCGGTGATTGCGAGGCCTGTGGGAAAGTACAAAAGCCTGAGCTAGATTACCCCTCTCATTGAGCCCGCCTGTGTGGCACCTGTTTCTTATCACCCCACTAAGTTCCCGCCTCACAGGGTAGTCTGCCTAGCTATTAATCCTATATATAGCCAGTGCCTCCACCCCCGAGAGAGAGACTGAAGCACGGAAGGAGCCGCGGGGAGCGGACCGGTAGAGGCTTCGGGGGAGACTGAAGCACAAAAGGAGCTGCGGGGAGCGGACCGGTAGAGGCTTCGGGGCAGACTGAAGCACGGAAGGAGCCACGGAGAGTGGACCGGTAGAGGCTTCGGGGCAGACTGTATAAGGAGAGAATAAAGAAAAGCCTGACCACCGCCAGACCTTGTCGTGTGTCTTTCCTGCCGGCCGGGAGCGACATCGACATTTGGTGGCCCACACGGGGATTGATCAACCCCGAGACGCGGCGGTGGACTGCATTCTCCTACACAGTGCTGCAGCTGCAGGACAGGTGAGTAGAGGATAAGCCTGGGCCCTGGGTGGCGCGCACCTACAGGGTTTGTAGACTCCTCTCAACCTCACGCGTAAGTGGCGGGTTTCTTGGGCCTCACGCGGTGAGTATGAAACATAACACCAGAACTTAAGGTAATAAAAGAGTGTAAAACATAAACATAGAAGTAAAAATAACAGAAGATATATTAAAAATGGGAAACATGCCAAGTAAAGATACACAGCCTTGGTGTTGGTCCTTCGGAGACTCCTAAAGTCCAAGGACCTCAAGGTGGGGCGTAAGACTTTAGAAAATTTCCTTGCAGAGATTGACAGCTTTGCTCCCTGGTTTCTGCCTACAGGGCATGTAAACCTGCCCTCCTGGGAAAAGTTGGGCAGAGACCTTTCCCTAGCAGAACGGGAGGGTAGAGCTTCAGTCTCTGCTCGTCCATTGTGGGAAATGATACACGCGTGCCTAAAGAGTGAGGGTAGTTACGGGGGGAGCTCTCAAGAACTTGTAGAAGTACGCGAGGTGTTTGAACAGGCACAGTCAGGAAGCTCCCGAGAAGGGTCCGTCAAGGAGGGCAGAGATACAAAAGAGGAAGCCGAGGCGCGGTTTGTGTCTTTCCGCAGGAATCGGGACGAGAACCAATGTGGGTCCCAGAGAGGTTGACGCGACAAGTCCCTCGACTGAAGATCAGGCCTGTTCCACCAGAGGCCAACCGCAGACCCAACAACAAGATGAGCCCTAAAAGAACTGCAGGACAATCCCTTTTTGGGGGCCTGGAACGGCTTGCTCCCCTATGTGCTACCCTTGTATACGCATGGCTCGCTCGCATGGCCTACGACCGCGTTTAAAAGTGACAGGCTTCCCACATTCTCCTCCCTAGACAACAACATGTAGCAGGGTGGGTGAGTCAATGACGGGTAAGAGCGTGCCTCCCCAGCACGACTCAACCTAAGCCAGGCCCTACCCCGTTCCGCTCGAAAGCCGCTGGATTGTTAGATAAATTTCTCTCCGAGGGGATTCGTGGAGAGAAATGAGTGCATGCCTATGTGCAACCAGGTTCCGTCCGGTTCATTCCTGGCCCTAGAAAAAAGGACGAGGGCCTCAAGGCCTTGGTGGACCCTGGGACAGCCGACCAGGGTCTACGCTAAGGGCCTACGGTGGGCCTCAGTTCGGGGCATAGGCCTCTGCACTCTATCCAGGACGGGCTGCGATGCGCGTAGCCATCATTTAAAATAAAATAGGGGGAGATGTTGGGAGCCGTGGCACTGTCAAGTCATCAGACGCGGTGATTGCGAGGCCTGTGGGAAAGTACAAAAGCCTGAGCTAGATTACCCCTCTCATCGAGCCCGCCTGTGTGGCACCTGTTTCTTATCACCCCACTAAGTTCCCGCCTCACAGGGTAGTCTGCCTAGCTATTAATCCTATATATAGCCAGTGCCTCCACCCCCGAGAGAGAGACTGAAGCACGGAAGGAGCCGCGGGGAGCGGACCGGTAGAGGCTTCGGGGGAGACTGAAGCACAAAAGGAGCCGCGGGGAGCGGACCGGTAGAGGCTTCGGGGCAGACTGAAGCATGGAAGGAGCCGCAGAGAGCGGACCGGTAGAGGCTTCGGGGCAGACTGTATAAGGAGAGAATAAAGAAAAGCCTGACCACCGCCAGACCTTGTCGTGTGTCTTTCCTGCCGGCCGGGAGCGACATCGACAGGAGGGCACAGAGATGGTGGGAGTGCTACATCCACCTGGAGGCATGCAGCCTGTATACAACATAAAGGAGGAAAAGAGGCTTACTCTCCTGCACCATTATGCTCTTGTTGCTTCTGCACTATTATCTTGAACTGTTATCTCTCTGCCATGCCACCCTGCTTTGGAGCCAGCTGCTTAAGGACTGAAAACTCCACAAAATGTAAGCTAAATAAACGTTTTTTCCTTTAATTTTTTTTTTTGTCTTTTTTCTTTTTATTGGTACCGGGGATGGAACTCATGACTGCCTGCTTGCAAGGCAGGCGCTTATGCTGCTGAGCTAAATCTCCAGCCCCTCTTCCTTTAATTTTGAGGTCAGATATTTTTCACTCAGGAAGGAGAGCAAAATAACAAAGACACATGCTATCCTCTTTATTGCTCCCTCATTGTAATAGAACATGTCCTCCAATAAGTATGTAAATAAAACACATGGGAGGAAAAATATTGAGGCCTTCTATGTATGATGGAGACTTTTTAAAAATTTCCATTTGATGGTGGTTTGGTTACCTGTTAATCTATAGATCTGTAAGTCAGGAGTGCATTTTCTCATGATAATGGGGTCAGTGCTCCACTGTCCTCTTGCAGTCTGTTTCTACTGAGAATTCAAAGCTATTTCAGTTGTAAAGGTATCTTGTGAGTACAGTGTTTACCTTTTGGTGACCACACATGAGTCAGGAACCAGACTTCCTTTCAAGTCTTCACTCTAGCAAGTCGCGGTTTAAAACAAGGCACTATGCTGACATCAAGAGATGCAAGAAAAGAGAAAACCAAGTTTATTTCCACTGAGCAGAAGACCATAAAGAACCCAAAAGTCAGGTAGTTTCCCATCAGGTCACAGGAACTTGCCTGCTTGCAGGGAATCAGCTGCCGGCTCCAAAATGTTACATAGTATAAAGAAGAAAAAGAGACTGCCCTTAGTTTCACTAAATGAGGCAGCCACTTTCTAGATTTTCAGCCGTTTTAAGTTGATCCCTCATTAACACTGCAAGGAACTGATCTGTTCAAGCCATATGCAGTTCTGACTGTTGTGGGTTTATTCATTCACTCCAGAAACATTCAAAAGAGTGCTTTTGTGTAGCCATCCTTGAGCTAGTCACCTGAAACACCACAGGGACAAAAGAAAGAAAGTATAGACACATTCTAAAACCTATATCTGAAATAAATTGCATGCACACCTGAACAACTAAAAATAAACAGAAGAAAACGGCACACTGGCATTGGGGTCCACAGAATTTAGTTAATACTGTCCAGGGACAAAATTTTATCTAGAGTATCCCAGTCTCACACAGAAGCTGCACAGTCCCTAGTGAGGTGGTTCAGATTGTTTTAATAGGAAGGAGACGAGATGTCCGGACTTTAAAACTGTACTTTTAAGATAAACCAAAGCTCCTCAAGTCTTTTATCGTCCCAGGAAATGCACTGGTTTTCAGAATTTCTTTTTTTTTTTTTTTCCTTTTTTTTTTTTTTTTATTTAAGAGGAAAAAGAGAAAAACACAAAACAAAACAAAGCAGTGTAAGGTTACACATAATACAGAACTACAAAAAAAAAAACATAACAGTAAGAAATCACCTGTTAATAGATTACATATTATCATCTTGGAAATAGTTGCTCAAATCACAGTATCAAAGAATACAAAGTAGACATTCAAACAGAGAGACTGCAAACAGCTGTGTTTAATTTCTTAAAGACATCTGAGCCTGCACACGGACTGGGCCGTGCTTCTCACCTGTGCACCGCGCCTGGATCAGCTGGAAACCCGGAACCCAGCCCCGGGTCCGCACTGAGGTGCCTCAAGACCGGAGCCTACAAGCCCGGCTCCCTGGCAGCTGCCCCGCTGGCGCCCGCGCTCACGCTGTAACCCGGGCCCAGTCGGTGCCTCGGCCTCCTCGAGGCGTCCAGAACTCTGTCTTCCGGCCCCACAGCCGCGAGCCTGAGATCCCAGTCAGCACTCAGCCATGGGCTCCTCCTCTGGCTTCTGTGGGACAAGGACCGGGTCACTGGGTCAAGACCTCTGACCCAGAGGCAGTGGGGCGGGGAGAGGACCAGCGACCCGGATGTAGGCTGCTCTCACAGAGCCAGGCGAGTCTCAGAGCTAGTTCAGCCTCCTGCTCGCACAGCTCCACAGCTCGCCTCTCTGCTCCACCAGCCTCACGTCCCAGACGGAGAGCTGACTGCACCGCGGATCCGCAATTCACGAGATCCCCCAGTGAGCGTGAGCTTAGCACGCCGCCTGGCGATAGGAGGCCGCATCGTCCCTGAGGAAAGGGAAGGAGAGACAGGTGTTGACCTGAGCGGGACTTTCTGGACAAGAGCATGACCAGCGGGCAGCAAAATACAACGGAAGACTGGTGTGCACAAAACAAAGAGCACCTGTCAGCAGAAGACATGCAGAGCAGGAACGGGACAGCGTGCGGAACAGGAGAAAGAATTCTTAAAACACTTGCTGGACACTGTACTGATACATGGCCTATATAAAGAGCTAATACAAATCCTAACAAAATAAGAACAACACAGTCAAAACAGGTAAATCATCTGAATGGATAATTTTTCAAATGAAATCCACAAATGGCCAATTAGTATGTGCAAAAGTACTCAACATCATTACCAAACAAAGAAATGAAAGTCAAAGCCAAAATCAGAAACAATCTCACTCTAACTACAACAGTCTGGCAAAAACCAAAGTGTGACAAAAACCAAAATGAAATAAGTTGGTGAGGCTGTGAAAAAAAGGCAAGTCCTAAGGAGTGTAAGGGAGAAGAAAAAGTTGGTGAAACACTGAAGATCAGTACAAAGCTTGGTTAAGAAGTTAAAAACAATTCTATTATACCTGATGATATAGACAACTCTTTTTAAGATAGCAATGATAACCATTGTTGATTACCTGGTATTCTGTTTTTTTTTAATTTATTTAAAGAGAAAAACAAAACTAAATGAAGCAAAACAGTAAAAGGCTAGAAGTAATACAGAATTTCAAGAGAAAAAAATATACAGTAAGAAATCACCAGTTAATAGATCACACATTGTCATCTTAGAAACAGTTGAACAATTACAAAATTAAAGCATACAAAGTGGACATTAACACAGTGAGATTGCAGGCAGTTCTGTTCAATGATCCAACAAAAACTCAGCAATATGGTTCTCTATCCTACACATTTAAATATACTTGCAGTTATATCCTTTAGATCACTTTCCTTCCTCTCTTTTTTACACTAACAATCACACATTTTGGTTTCCATTACTCCCACAGTTTTTATAACTTTTTCTTTGAAGAGGAAAAGAAAAAAGATTTTAAAAAAAAAGAAAAACAAAAAACAAAACAAGGCAGACCAAAGAAAAACCCAGCGTGACAAAGCAAAACAGAGTCAGTTAGAACAGGAGGATGGACATAGTATATAATGCAAAAAAAAAAGAGATTACTAGTGATCAACAATGGTTACCATTATGCCTCTTGTTATCCTAAAAAGAGTTGCCTATATCAGCTGGTATAAAAGAACTGAACAAAACAGTACAGAAGACCAATAAAACCCACATTGGAGAGCTTACAGGACTTCCAAAGAAGATAATAGTCAAACAATAACAGGCATCATAGAATATCTGGTTGCCTTCCAAATGGTTACCTATACCTTCAAACTTGATACTATTAAGCAAAACAGAATATAACAAAATCAGTCAGAACAAGATGTGGAGAACAATACAGGGGTTTAAATCAGGTTAATAGGGAAACAAAAAAGTTAATATAATATATCGCAGTATTTTTAATTTAGTTTTCGCCTAGTTAAAAGATACTAAGAAATTAATTTTTTTAAAAAGGGAGGATATTGAGATTAAAAAAATATATCAATAGAACAATACCAGTAAGAATCAAAAAATTTAAGCATCATTGTGTTTCATTCACCACCAGATAGCCTGACATTAATAGCGGTTACCACAGTGACCCTTTCCTTGAAATATTTGAGTCTAACTTCGTATACTATAGCATCAAACTTATAAAGACAGTGTGAAACTGTTCAAGAGAGTGAAATTATTGTAGGGTATTTAGAACCAGCTAACAGAAACCAAACATCAGTTTCTACATTATCCCTTTGCCTATAAAAAATTTGCTTATACTATTGCATACATTAAAATATAATAAGATACAACACGTTAGAACCAATGGAAACAGATGAACAACAACTTCATGGGGCTTCAAAACAGGATGATATTAAATCAGCAATAGCTATTACGCTCTTATTTTCTTCAAAATAGTTATTTGTAGTATCACAGACAATAAAATAAAACAACCCAGATTAAAACCATTCCACTTACTGAGTGAAAACATTATATGGCTTCAAACCAGTGTGACTGGGAATCATGATTACCACGTATGTTTATGTATTCTTATCATTTCTTACACTAGGGAAACTATTCGGTATTTATACATGTGAGTTTGGTTTATTTCACTTTTAAGTATGGTCTCAAAATGCGTCCATTGATTTATAAATGTCTCAATGTGATCATTATTTACAGCTGAGTAGTACTCCATTGTATAAAAATACCACAACTTTTTTATGCATTCCTCAGTTGATGGACACTTAGGTTGTTTCCAAGATCTGGCTATTACAAATTGTGCTGCTATAAACATGGGTGCACATATATCACTGTGCCATGATGCTTTCATTTCTTCTGGGAATATGCCTAGAAGTGGAATAGCTGGGTCAAATGGTGCTTCCAGTCCCAGCTTTCTGAGAAATCTCCAGACTGATCTCCACAATGGTTGCACCAGTCTAAACTCCCACCAACAGTGCAGGAGAGTTCCTTTTTCCCCACAGCCTCTCCAGCATTTATTGTTAATGGTTTTCTTGATCTTGGCCATTCTTTCAGGAGTGAGATGAAATCTCAGTGTGGTTTTAATTTGCATTTCTCTAATGACTAATGATGATGAACATTTTATCATATATTTATTTTCCATTTGTATTTCTTCATCTGAATATTGTTTATTCATCTCAGATGCCCATTTTTAGATGGGGTCTTTGAATTTTGGGGGGTCAGATTTTTTTTAATTCTTTATATGTTTTAGACAGAAGTCCTTTGTCTGAGGGACAGTTCACTAGGATTTTTTCCCAGTTTGTGGGTTTTCTTTTCACTGTTAGAGATTTCTTTCAATGTGCAGAAACTTTTTAATAAGATGTGATCCCAGTTATTGACTCTGGGAAGTATTTCCCGTGCGGTTTGAGTCTTGTTCATGAATTCTCTACTTACGCCTATGTCTGCAAGGTTTTACCCAATTTGTCTTCCAATAGATTTAGTGTTTCTGTTTTAATATTTAGATCTTTGATCCATTTAGATTTTATTTTAGTATATGGTGACAGACATGGGTCTAGTTTTAATTTTTGGCATATGAAGAGCCAGTTTTTCCAACACCATTTATTAAAGAAATTGTCATTCTTCCAGTGAACAGGTTTGGCCCCTTTATCAAACATAAGGTGGTTGAGTGTGTTTGTAGTTGTCGTTGTATCTTCTAATCTATTCCGCTGATCTTCAGCTCTGTTTTGATTCCAGTACCAGGTTGATTTTATTACAGTTGCTTTGTAGTATAACTTCAAGTCAGGGATTGTGATGCCTCCTACCTTGCCTTTGCTGCTTAGAACTGTCATTGCTATTCTGAGTCTCTTCTCATTCCAGATGAATTTTAGGATTGATTTCTTGAGATCTATGAGTATGTTGATGGTATTTTTATCGGGATTGCATTGAAACTGTATAACAGTTTTGGGAGAATGGCCATTTTCACAATATTTATTCTTCCTATCCATAAGAAATGGATAGCTTTAAATTTTCTGAGATCATCTTCAATTTCATTTTTCAGTGTATTATAATTTTCCCTGTATAGGTCTTTCACTTCTTTCATGAGAATAATCCCTAAATATTTCATTTCTTTGGTTCCTAGTGTGAAGGGTGTGGCTTCACTTATTTCTCTCTCTGTGATTTTGTTGTTAGTGTATAAGAATGCTATTGGTTTTTGAGTATTGATTTTGTATCCAGACACATTGCTGAATTTATTATATCTAGAAATCTTTCAATTGAGTTTTAAGGGTCTTCTATGTAGAGTATCATATCATCTGCAAATAGTGATAATTTAACTTCTTCTTTTCCTATCTTTATGCCTTTTATGTCTCTTTCTTGTCTAATTGCTCTGGCTAGTATTTCGAGTACGATATTAAATAGGAGCAGTGACAGAAGACATCCTTGTCTTGTGCCTGATTTTAAAGTAAAGGCCTTCAATTTTTGGCCATTTAGTGTGATACTGGCTGTTGGTTTGTCATAGATGGCCTTTATTATGTTGAGGTAAAGACCGTCATTCCAATTTTCTGCAAGGTTCTTATTATAAATGAATGTTGTACCTTATCAAAAGCTTTTTCTGCATCTATATAAATGATCATGTGATTCTTACCTTTGACTCTATTGATATGGTGGATTACATTTATTGATTTATGTATGTTGAAACATCCCTGCATACCTGGGATGAATCCCACTTGGTCATGGTGTATAATCTTCTTGATGATTTGCTGCATCCTATTTGCCAGTATTTTATTGAGGATTTTTGTATCTGTGTTCATTAGGGAGATTGGTCTGTAGTTCTCTTTTTCAGTTGGGTCTTTCTCAGGTTTTGGTACTAGAGTAATATTTGCTTCCAGGATTGACTTGGGAAGGATTGCTTCCCTTTCAATTTCATTGAAGAGTTTGAGGAGTGTTGGCATTAGGTCCTCTTTGTATTTCTTGTAGAATTCTGCATTGAATCCATCTGGGCCTGGGCTCTTCTTTGTAGGTAATGACTTAATTACATTTTTGATTTCATGAATAGAAATTGGGTTATTCAGCAGTTTTACATCTTCTTTACCTAGCTTTGGTACTTCATATGCTTCTAGAAATCTGTCTATTTCTTCTGTGTTATCAAACCTTTGAGAGTAGATGTTTTTGAAATAGGTGTTGATGATCTTCTGTATTTCTATTGGATCTGTAGTGATTTCACCTTTTTCATTCCTTACTGCATGAATTTGAGCTTTTTCTTCCCATTTTAAAATAAGGTTGGCTAGGGGCTTATTGATTTTATTTATTCTTTCAAAGAACAAACTCTTCGATTCGTTGATTCTTTGGATTGTTTTCTTAGTCTCTATTGCATTGATTTATGCTCTGATTTTTATTATTGCCTCT